CCCATTCACTCACACCCCTCGCTGCTGTATGTTCGTCAACCCACTTCTATTGTTTCTTTGAATCGACCAATCTGCCTCCTGTCAGTGGTTCTTGGGCGTTTCAACCGCCAAACTGCTTTAACTCTCAATTCTCTCAGGAGGACATTCCCCAGGAAACATCTTTCCTGCTTCTACACACGCATCTGGAGCTTATGGTCAAACCCGTTGGTCGAGAGCAGAGGAACAAGTGACAAGCGTCCAGTGGTAAGCCAACACAGATTGTCTTCGTTTATGTGTTCTACCCTTTTGCTACATTCAGTCTTCAACCTCCTTATCGCTGTTAAATACTTATCTTCCCAGGAAGTTTACATAATGGTGACATGTCTGCCCGAAACTCTGAATCCGAAGCTTTGACACGGATAACGCGGTCGTGAGCAAAAAGGAACAGCACTCGTAACAACACTTCAATCTGTACCCATGGTCAAATAGGGGTGGGGCAGAACACCAAACCCATGAAGAAGCGGCCAACTTATGCTTCTAAAATTTCCAGTCGCCATCAAACAGGTGACACAGAGTAGCACCAGCACGTTACAAAGTAGTCCTACCTTTGGCGAGGATCAGGCCATGTCTGAAAAGAGGAAACAGCGTGTCAGATGTAAGAATGAAGCAGCCACAAGCAGTTTGCCACAATCCGCAGCACTCTCTTCAAGGAAAGAAGGCCTCATCACGGCAGCCGATGGCTGTGGTGTTTGCACAAACGTTGTTTCGGTAATCAGGGAGGCATTTGGACGCAACCTATGTCACCGATGGGCGCATTGCCACTGCGACACTAAAGTAGCCCGACGGCACTAGAAGCTGATAAAGAGACAACCATGCAGATGGTTCTGGTGCATTTGTCCAGAGTGCTGGAAGCTGCCCGCACCCCTCACAGAAAGCTTGAAAGAGATGCTCCCCGCCACACAAATGCTGCCAACATCCTCTATTAAAGTGGGGTTAACATCAACGAATAACGCAGAGGGATCTGGAAACAAAGCTAGATCTCCAGCTGTGCACACGCCACTACGCATGGAAACCACAGTGGGTTGAGCCCTCGTACCCCGTACCTGGCTCCAAAGAACGTCAAGCCCACGGCAAAGGATACCAACCGCCAGACCCTCTGAGAAACCCAGCCCAAACATCCCGGGCACTATGGTCGGAAAACAGCCAGTAGAGATGCACAACAAACCCACTGGGAAGTCGAGCGTGCCACAGGAGGGCCACGTCGATCATCTTGTTCAACGTCTATGTACCGACAGACTGACTGTGAATCGAGAGAGAAAGGTCTGACAGATGCATGTGGATCAACTGCCATCAGATGCTGGGGCTCTGTCCTCTCCCTGCAACACCGTGTCGCCATTCCCGCGGTAGCCGGGCAACCCGAGGCAAGCCACCCCTCTACACGTATCTCTCAAAACTGCTAAAGGGGCCGAAAGCACCCCACTTCTCTCGCGCCAGCTTGACGTTGGGCCATGCCTGACAAGTCATGGTCAATAAAAAGGAGGAAAGAAAATTAGTGGTTTGGAATCCAGGCAGAAACAACGATATAATCGTACATGGGATCCCAGAACTTCTAGGTGACCTCTCGACCAAAGATCGGCACTTCCACGATGTCCAACAATGGCAGGGGCTCTCAACCAAAGTTGGTTTTGACACTGGACCAGCCGGCAGCGTCATTAGACTGCCAAGGTCAGCGCATCTGAAGTTTATCCCCACCCCCAAACTACTCGCCATCCAATTCGACTCACATGCCTTCCTCACAGATTTTCTACATACATGGCTTAGTGCGAAAGACAGCACGGGGGGCCCAATATGAAGGCCTGAAAATGAGCCTAGACACGGAGCAAGAGGAAGGATGGAAACTGCCAAAACTTCCGGAGTCAGTGGTCGTCACACAGATACTGACCAGTGAGTAAGATACATAGAGTAAAGAAGCTCCTGCTGCCACAGCTCCCACCCAGGTTGAAAATAAAACGCAAAAAGCGGAACGATACCAGTCCTATGAGGACTGGCGACGTTGGACCCAACCATGTAAGCGCCTTTCTCGCAAAAGTACACAACCAGCCTTTCCCTTCCACTGGGCACACTGTAACACGTATGTACAGCAGCGTTAAGGGGTTAAGAGGAAACGTAGCAGAGATGAGAACGCTGTGTTAACGTCAACACTCTAAAATCATATTCGTCACCGAATCCTGGCTCCCGCCGGACATCTCCGACGAAGGGGTGCATGTTACTGTCATGGAACTCCTCCTCAGGGACAGGGCCCAGAGCAGGATGGGGAGTGGCTCTTCATGTAGGCTCTCGTTCAAAGGCAAGAGTGGTCAGCGAAAGTACCCTAACCCAGCTCCCGGAATACTTGTTTTGCCACATCACTCCGCTGTACCAAATGCCTGCTCAGGGTCATAAACTTATCCCCCGTCAGCTCCCCTACATTTAGGGAAATGGTCATCAAAACAATCTTGACGACTTCCTCGGCAGTTCACAAATCCGTTACCATTGGCGCAACTTTAACTCCCCCTCCATCCTCTTCGAGACGGAGGGGAGACACATTAATCCTTCAGTCAGAGGCCGAAGAATGCAATTAAGACTTCTGGCCTCTCAGAGAAGGTGGACGATACCATTCGCTGGGGCCGGGCGGAACACAGCACGCCCTAACTACGCTCTAACTGATGATAGCCTTCTCATCGAGGATGTTTTCATCCAACCTCCCTTGGCCCCATTGACTGTGTAGTAATAACTTTCTTCATGATTACTACGGAGGCCCGCAACCGAAGGCTCCCAACACATTCCCTTGCTACAGCAAGGCAAACTGCGAGACCATGAGGGGTCACCTCAAAAATGCATCACGGCCGACGGACCGGACTAATCTCACAACAGGTGACCACCCGCTGTGATTTACACAAATACAATTGTATATCTAATGTCAACCTTTTACTCAGCGCCTAGTGTTTGCCGTACTATACGGCCGAATCTTGGTTATAGTTTATATAAAGATGAACATTGGTTACAAGCAAAGAAAATAATCTTTGGGGCATCGGTCGCAGTGTACCAGACGTAACACACAGACCGTCAGTGAGAGCCTCATAGCCAAAGCATTGAACAGAGAGGCCACTTCAGACCAAGAAGCAGGCTTGTTTCAAGGGGCGTTCATCACGCAGGGAGTTTGGCTTCCTGAACCACAATAGGATTCGCAACGGCCGTAGAGCGCGTAGCGACAGATTCTCCTATCAAACAAACCTGGCGGAGAGGTTACGAAGCAGTCCCAAAGACCTATAACGCTTCGTTTCAAGGGGGAAGTCAACCAGTAAGGGAGTGAATCTTATCACAGGTCATGATGGGAGTGTCCTGAGCAATCTAGAGATTACCGAGCCTTTGAGTCCACACTTCCAAGCCCAACTTAGTACCGACCCTAAATCCACGCCGACTCGTTACAACACCAACCAGGTCATAAATAACGAGTGCCTCTGCCATATCTCTATCACAGGGAAAAAAGTGTTGGGGAAACTATCTAGGCTACGTCCAGGCAAGTCACCTGGCTGTGACAACCTAACACCGATGATCCTAAAAAACTATACCGAGGTGCTTGCACAGCCACCCTGCAACCTCTCTAAGCACTCAGTAGAGTCGTGCAAACTCCCTAAAGAGTGGAAAAGCGCCATCTTGTCACGCATCTTCAAGGGAGGAGACAGAAAAAGCACTGGCACCTACAAACCAATTGCTCTACTCCCTATCTTGTCGAAAGTGTTGGAAAGCCTGATAGCTGACGCTATCTGAGAATTCATCAATAAGGAAGACACTGTGCATACTGCTCAGCATAGTTTTCGGGGTGGTCGCTTATGTGCCACCAACTTACTAACCGCCTGGGACGACTAGACACAAACTGCGATGACAGAAAACCGGTACACGTTGCGTTTCCAGACCTAGCCAAGGCATTTTACAGTGTCCCACCCACTGTCCTGCTTCACAAGATCATGTCAGCTGGTAAAAGTGAACCCCTACTCTCTCGGTTCAAGGAGCACCTGGAAAAGAGGCAGTTCTGCACCAAAGCAAACGAAATAAGTTCGCGGTGGAGACCATCGACGTCGGGAGCATCCCAAGGAGCAATCCCAGGACCACTTCTGTTCCTGCAGTTTGGTAGTGATCTGCCACACGAAATATCCTCATCTACCCTCCCCTTCACCAATGACATCAGAATTTACGGGGTGGTAAACGGATAAGCTGACTGTACAACACTGCAAAGCGACTTGCTGCAACTCAAACTCTGGTCGTCGGAAAATGTCCTGAGGTCCAACCTGGAAAAGTGCAAAGCAATGCTCATCAGTAAATATGAAGCGAGTACGACCAACTTCCAGTACATGTTGAACAACCGCGCTATCACCAGTGTCCATGGAGAAGGGTTTTGGGGCTCAACTCCCCGACACCTTGGACACTAGCTCCGACTTCAAAGACATGACAGCCAGAGTCAACATCATTTCGCACTTTCTGCGTAGACAGTGGTGCCCTCACCCCCGAACTCTCCTTCACCACTTTCAAATCCTACGTGCGGCCGCATCTAGAGGTCCTCATTACGGTGGCCCCGCAGCACTCAAGAGAGGATCCAATCTCCTTGAAAAAATACAAAGAACCGCAACAAAATCAGTTGTGGGGCTAACCAACCGCCCATAGGGCTAACCAGAGCTACAGCAGTCGAGTGGGTAGACGTACTGCATCGGAACCCATTAAAGACCTGGGACCGTTCCGCAAGGCCTAGAAGCGAGCGCAAAGAAATCAAATGGCTTACATTAGCTCATAAAAAGATATTTGGTTGGATTACACTAGCTCGTAAAGAGACATTGGATATTGGACCTCACAATAGCTAAAAGTAGAAAGCAGGAGAGATTTCTCCGCTTAGTGCAGCTGTAAACCGAACAACAAGAACTACTCTCAAAGAAATAGACACGAGAGATCAAACGCTATCAGTTTCCTATGCTCGCACTATTGGGGTTGGAAACCTGAAGTATGTAGGTCACTGCAATTACAAAATGAAGGTCACTCCGAACAAGGATGTAAAAAACGTGGTTTCTGGCACTTGAGTATATTGATTTCTAACACTTTAGGGTGATGATGAAGCAATTTATATTAGACTTGGCGATGTTCCGCTAGATATGATGAGGTACAACATATCTATGCAATCAGGATCAGAGCGAAAGGAAACGCGAAAGGCTTTACTCCTAAAACTTGGTGCTAAAAAACCAAAGAACGCGTACGTTAACTATAAGGAGTTGATGCAGAGTCGTGCTAAGGCGAAAAAAGAAGCCGAAATGTACCCTTTTGACGTAAGTTCTGTGTCTGCAGCACTATTTTTTCCAAAAATATAGCGCGCTGCTAACTTTGTGAATAAAAAGCGGCCTCTAAAGAAGTTAAAGAAGAGGGACAAAAAGAAAAGAAAGATAAAACTGAAGAAAAAGTTCGTTAGTATTCGTATTTTATGTAGTTATTCTAGGATGTCCAAGCCTATGAAGAAACGTTGATTGTGGAACTTATTCATGTCGTGAGATTCAGCATTTGCATTTTTATTATGTGCTATTAAGCAAATCTTAAGTAAAGTGATGCCATGATTTTTTTCTGTAACACTGCTGTATTAGATCTGGTAAATGTTTACTCTTAAATGAACGATGGTTATTCGGTGGTCTCGAAATTTTTTTGTGATGTGGTTTCTGTGAAGTCTAAGTAGTTATGGGAGCCATAACATCTGAAGCATACTCTGGGAGTAATCATGCTCAAACTAGTAACCTAGTGGGTTTTATTAACTGGATGGAAAACAACACAATTCTGTCTGCGATCGATGCGTACGTAAAAATTGAGGCAACAAGCATACAGCTGTTAAACGTAAGCTCAGAAGTTCATCAAAGTGTTGGTAGAAATTTTATTTAACTATTAAAATCAATGACAGTACCGCAGCACTAAGTATACGTTGGCTAGGCTATTATACTTGTTTCATGTAACAATGGAGAGTATTACTATTTATTGACATACTTGTTATTCTCCGTTGTTTTGTTGGATCGAATTGTTCGACCTATGTTGGCATATGGACTCCTATGCGGATGCCTCGATAATGCCTGAATGTAAATTATGATAAGTTGGTTGGTTGTGGCTAGTAGAAGAATCTGCAACTCTCGTTTTGTCCTATTTGGGACTCGTCAGCTGGATGCGCCTGCACCACAGTGATGTTGTTTCCACTGAGACTGAAACCTCGTACCCATCGCTTCAAACGCCAAGGCGTTTGGAATATCCGAACCCTCCGTCAAGTCGACCGACAAACTTCACTAACCAAAACTTTATCAACTCAGGCCATGGATATGTGCTGCTTTTTTGAAACATATATGGGACTCAAGTGTGGCTATTCATTCAATCTAAGCAAATCAGTGTGGTGAATCTTCGGACTTCACTATCTGCCTCTCATGGACTCAATGGTGTAAGCATAGCATAAATTTCTCGAGCAGAAAGTACACTTTTCGGCTGGATATCAATCAATAGTCGTCTGTGTGCTGTCCGAACGAATGGATCTGTAAGAGCTAAGAAGAATCGTTAGAATTGCCGATGCCCACTCATAACCTCAGTCTATGTACCTACCGACTGCTGTTTGGATAATTCAAAGGATGAATTCTATCAAAAGCTGTCAGTTTCGCTGCGGAAAGCTAAACGTTCAGATGTGGTCCTGATAGCAGATGACTTTAACGGTTAGATAGGCAAAGTGAGTCAATCGGAAAGGTCTCTTGGGGGTATGTGCGGAATCTCATGCCAAAGGACTAACCATAGTGAATGGTTTTTGCGTTTTTTGTTCTAACAACCGCTTGTTTCTGCTCAACATTAGGTTCAGGTGTAAGGAGACACTATTTCACACAGCATTCACTGAAACTGAGACAACGACGGACACAAATAGATCATATTATTGCAAGCCATTGTTGGAGAGGTTCGATGGAGGATTTCCGCTCTTCCTCCGATCAAGCAATAGTACGGGGAAATTCATGTCTCTGCCTTGCTGGTCGCGGGAAAAACGTACTCAGGAAGCCTATATATGCTCAATTGGGAGAGGAGGACTTCAAATACGTATTCATGGAGGAGATAGCTAAGCATTTGAAAGAAGAACAAGTATTTCAGCGAAGGGTCTCTTTTTGGTGACTTCATTTTCAAAGGTGTACAATCACAAATTTATGCATTTTTCTAGTGTAAGGATTTGATAGTTAAAAACGGTTCATCAGCCATGGCAACACAAATAGTGTCAATATGTGAGCTGTCATTAAAGCAAAAAAAACTGTGATGATTAGGGAATATTGGTCAAAATCTCTCTGGATTTCTATGAAAGAGAATACATTCGGACAAGAAGTTTCATGACATGAAGACATACTTGGAAACCGAACTGTGACCAGAAAAGGCATAGCAACAAGGTGTAGTAGGAAATTACTTAAGAAGTGAATAGTATCAAAACAGAAAGCTAGGGGAGAGGGTAATTTCAAAGACTGGAAATTAAGACCATGAAAAGAGAAGGGGTTGAAAAATCTTCTTATGCGTACGCAGTTCAGGTTTCTCCATATGGATGGCAAGATCTTTGGCGATGCAGAGAATACGAAGACATACAGCCTTTGGAAGGTTTCTTTTCATCTTAAAGATGACTTTGAACGAGGAGGTTCTTGAGATAGGGTGACTCGTGTTCATGATGTGTTCAGTTATGGGGCTCCCTATCGCTCCATTGTTACCTCTTTGTCACCACACGGGATAGTGCTCTTGAACCCTTTTGAATAAGTCGCATCCAACTACCTATATACCTGGGTCCACATGAGCAGGTGAATTGATATATGCACATAGAATTAGTTAGATACGAAAGTTTTTCCTTTAAGTTGTTAGAAATCGTTAGGCGACAAGACAATAGTAGTCTCAGCATTGATGCAAAGAATGTTCTCCTTAGAGGGTTTGATATCCTCGTTTTTAGAGTATCAGGAACAAAATCACCTTTGAGGTTTAGATGCATAAAGTGTAATTTTTGGCACGGTGGTAGGATTCTCTTTGCTATATTTTTGATATTTTTTCCTATGAAGCGTGGTGAGAATCTGTTTTCAATTAGGATGTTCTCTGGAACAGAAATTTCCCCGTCTAACACATCGGGACGTCAGATTCGTTTAGTGTGAGTGGCAAGAGATATGATCAGATTTCGCCTACGATTCATAGGAAACCAGCTATTGAAGTTCGTCAGCTGATCATTCCACATTGGTTTTCTTTAAATTGACCTACTTAACGTTCCATCAGTTGTTTTTGTCAGCTCTACATCAAGAAAGTGAACTTTCGATCGGTTTTAGACTTCAAGGGTGAATCTAATTGTTGAGTCGCAGTTATCGAATATTTGTTGAACGTGACTCGAATCACATTGATCATCACAGATAATAGAAGTATTGTCCACTTACCTTTTGAAGAGTTGGAAACCTTGAGTCGTTGATTTCAGGTTTCCGTCCTCCGAACTGCCAATAAAGCAGTCTGCTAGTAGAGGACCTAGTGGGGATCCTGTGGCTATCCCATCTTTTTATTTGTGAACCACGTCGTTAACTGTGAATTGAACATTAAGTGTGCATATAAGTAACAATAACTTAGGGTGTGGGGTCAGTATCTCAACATTTATGTTGCTATCTTCCATGTATCTGCATAAGGAGATAGTTTCAGTAAGTGGAACATTGATGAAAAGTCACTCGACATCAAGTGATATCATACACTAACTACTGCTAGTTTATGGTTAGGAAGGGAAGTGGTTAAATGCGTCGATCATATCGCTTACTTGAGAAGTTACGTCAGACCAAATGGTCTGCTTGCTGACGAAATTTCCAGATCGAATACAGAAAGGACGTTTGACATTTGTCAACTTACGTTATCTGTGGTGCAACTGGTGTGATATCTGACTGCCTAGTAAAGAATGAGTGTACTGCATTGGAGTTCACTCTATCTTGTTTCATGACTTTGAACTATGGTTGAAGATATGAAGAGATTACAGTTTTCTGATCATAGATGTCTGAGATATTGTTTCAGTAACATATATCTCGAAGTCGTTTCCTTTCCTGAATAGCTCTATGTTTAGTTTTTGAAATGATTTCAAAAGATTCCAGATAAATATTTTCTGTTGAAAGTGCATTATCCTAACATGTGGAAGTCCTAAGCACCATATTTAGGTGTACAGACTTAATAATTGGTAATCTATTTTGCAGTGGATGCTGACGGTTTTCTACTACTCGCACTTACCTATGTTTGTGAATTTATCTGCTTTGTAACCATTTCAGTACATGTTGCCCCACTCTCAAGTGCTTAAATCGATTAGTCCTCCTTATGTATGTGTCAAAGCACACATGCAGATTGATAAACATAGTGGGGTATGAAGCATTCGTGTATGCAGTGTTGACGTCTAGGTTGCAACATGTGTTTGGTTTTCTCAACTACGATATGTTTAGTTGCATAGTTTGTTTTACTAATGGAAGACCTTAACCTTCGTTTTAAAATTACGCTATAATAGTAGCGCAATATAAAAGCATCTCTTTGGAACAGAATACAGACTAGGTCTCAACACTGACTGATTTCTGCAACTGTTGATGAACTTCAATCTGTATCTATTTCCCATTAATGTTTTGTTAGTATTTTGATGTCACCATCCACTGAGTCTTCCTTTCTAATTGTTTTTATTGATGGGAACTTTGTTTCCAGTTACTAAGTATAACAAATGAAAATTCTCCACAGGATTTCATGATGTTTCGTTTCACGTGTTCGATTTTTACTGCGAGACAAAAGAAATGACTAGTTAATCAACTTTATTTTTCAATGAATTTTTAAGATACCTTTTTAATAGTGACTAGGCAAATAAGTAAGACCTCTGGACATACAAGTATGGTACAATACTTTCTTGATAATCATATTTTTACACATTCATATAGCTTGTATAGGCTAGAGACATTTTCTCTTGTATAACGGATAAAAGGTGGTTTAATGAAAAGTAAAGTAATAAGGTAAGCCAGTAAGCTAATTGGGATAAGGAAGCATTCTTATGCCATAGAAGTGATCAGTTGGGTTAATTACTTTGAAATATTTTAGGAATAAAAAGATTGGAGATTTTGTGTAGTGGATTGGTTCGATACAGTAAAACTGATCAAGTTTTTAAAATATATTACAGAGGGCTTTCAGGAGCTCTTAAACCACCATAATTATTGATAAGTATATCAGTAATGTGTACATAGGTATATGCGCCGTGTGCTGTAAGAGTAACACTTTATCAGTGTAATAATAATAATGATGATACTAGCAGCATTCTCTCCTGGTGGATGTGTATAAGTACTTCACAAAACGAAACAGCATATTGGGTTTATTTAAAAAGGAATGGGAATTCGTTGTTGACAATAATGCTGGTAGTACGATAATTTCTGAAAAAGAAGAATGCTGGTGCATATTGTGCTTATTTCATTTTGATTGGGATAGTTGAAATAAATTGACAGGTAGCTTTAATTTCACTTGACACGTTAATTTCTTTTTGTGCTGATACTGCTATCGGTGGTAAAGATTAGAAATAGAGGAAGCCCTAATTCATTGAAAACTTAAAGCCTTAGAAAGTTATTAGGACTATGTTATTGTAAATCTTATGGTTGAGGTTCTCGTCGACGTATTGTAGAGTCACTTGTACTACGATTTAGTGTAGCCGAGCTGTCTCTTGACTCACGCCATGTAGTGCGACTGGCAGCGATTGGTGTCCGTGGCAAAGAGGATTGTTCTAATGGACTTACGACTGTATTTGATATACCGGTTTCTTCAGGACCTTGTTTGTTTCTTCCATCGTTTTGATATCGAATTGAGGGATTTATATGGTTAATTTTTGTTGTCGAGTGATAGGATCTTGGTTCAATGAATGATCTTCTTGGTTTTACCGATAGATTTGATCCTGGGGATCGATTGAGTCGAGCAGGTATCGAACCTGTTACTTGGTAGTAGTATGGGTCATATCGTGAGGGTGCAATAGTTGGTTTGTATAGTCCCACTAAAAATGAATCCTAGGAAGAATAAAGATAGTTTATACTTCAGCTTCAAATATAACCCGGTTAAAAAATATTTAAAACTATTTCAACAAAGTTCGACTGAAGTACCATCTTCAATTTTTCAACTGGGTTACACATGTTATATATTCGTTGTTTTTTAGAGTTGTAGAACAGATTTGAGCAATATTTAGAACTGTGCATTGGTATGAGCATCATTTCAGTGTCTCCAGAAATATCTGTTTATATTATTCTAGTTATATTCATCAAGATTTCATATGTACCAGTTCAATTTATTGCTATTCAAGTACTTTACATTGTAATATCGTTTCACTTTAGTTGCACACTCAAATTTATGTAGAGATTTCGTGCATACAGAGGTTTTTTATCATTTACTATTATCTGCGTTAATAACTTCATTTCTACCCATAAGTTTCCAGCTTACATTTCAGAATAATAAGAATCGCTTGACATGTGAACTAAATAGCCAGTCAATGAAAACTTTAACCGCTGCTTTTCTTAATCACACCTATTCTACAGTGTATATTTTTATACATGAGCATCATTCAGCAAGTGGTTTGTTAGCTAATGTTTCTGATTTGTTACCATTTGAGTTAATAGGCTATACGTCAGTTGTGATAGTTCAGTGAAAAGTTATTGTTGAGATGTATTATTTCATTAGTTCACTATTCGCTTACTTTTTTGTTGTTGAAGTAGCAACCTAAAAACCATGTGCATGTTTATATACTAAGCTATAAGTTGGCAATGATGGATAGTGGCTAGCAGTGGAATCCAGGATGTGAATTTCGTCCTATTTGGGACTCGTCAGCTGGATGTACCTGCCTCCCAGTGACCGATCAATTCGGTCCAATCAACGACGGTATAATACAAGTAATTACGCCAAAACTATACCCATTGCACAAGAAGTGGCTATAGTGACTCAACGGTGTAGTGGATAACGCTCTGGCCAAATTAAGCTATCGTTTCCGGGTCCTGGTGGGAACAATACCACTCACTGGGTGGCAGGTACATCCAGCTGATGAGTCCCAAATAGGACGAAATGCGCATCTTGAATTCTACTGTTAACCACTATCCACCATTACTATACATAATTAAAACGCAGGCAATATCGAGGCATCTGCACAGGAGCCTATATGCCAATAGAGACCGACCAATTTGGTCCAGTCAACGACGGTATAATACAAGCAATTATGCTAAGCTATAGGTTATTGTTCTAACTATTATTTTGGGGCTTATGTTGGTAGCTAGTTACATAGAATGAGACAGATGAAACATATTTTAGTTCACAACTTAATCATTTGCAGATGAATGCCAGCACGGCTAGACCACAGTATTACACCATGTCATTTAGTAATTAGTATGCATTTGTCTAAAAACAATTTCTAAAATTAGGCTTATGATATCACCTGTTCATAATCTTACCTGTTGAGGATTACAGTCTACAACAGACTTGATATCAGCCAAATCACATCCGGTTGGGGTCACCGAACTTCCGTAATTTGTTAAACTTGGTTGACTTTGATTAATAGAACATGGAGTCTTTAAGTAAAGTAACTGGCGTTTACTTGCTTCATGGTTGAGTTGATCTTTAAGTTGCTGAATCTGTTGTTAGGGTAGAAGAAAATGAAGAAAAAGAATCTAATCATATATTCTTTTAATGTGTTCATTAGTTTAATCTTCTTCCAATGACGCGTCCATGTAGTCATTGTATAAAATAATACCCCCTTCATTGGGTATATGCCTGTGTACTATGCGTTAACATTCTATGTTCATTGTTATTGGTCTAGTAAGTTTCACTAGAACACTCAAGATTCGTGTTATTGGGCTACATTTTATAGTTTGTACTTATCAAAGTGATATTTTGATGGGAGAGATTGAGAATTAGAACAAAACTGGATCGAAACCAATAATCTTTGTAATTAGTGCTGAGTCAATAACGTTACTAAATTCCTGGATATGTTCTCACCTCAAGTTACATTTCTGATTTTCTATAAAGTAGGTAGTCAATATCAATGCTATTGCATATTTCCACTAGTTAGCTATCATTGACTGATGTCCCTTCTTGGAAGTCTATCTTCTCTTTTAGAATAATGATCATCGTAGTTGTTTATCTAGTTCTGGTCATATTATGAAGCATCATAACGAACTTTATAGACTTCGGCACAGTGAAAGGAACAGGGTTTTTTTCCCTTTCTAGTCAGTTAGATATTCACATAGATTATAAAAAATCAACTAAGCTTTTTTGTTTCAGTGCGGAGCCTTGCTGTTTTATTTACTCGTTAGTAATACAAAAATACTGAGGCTGGCAGAAGTTTACCAGAAGTCTATCTCATTTAGATCATATTTTAAAGTTGGCGACCAAAGTAACTTTTCAAACTTGAGAAAGGAAATTTATCACTTATTCGAAGATGTAACGTATACTTAGTGCTCTTATAAAGTTGACTAGATCTACGGTATTGTTTTTTTAATGAATATCTCAATGATCTGGTCACATACTTTATGATGTTTAAGGCATTTCGTTTTTTCCCCTTACCTAACTAACCTCATACCTATTCAAAGACTAGTCTTTTGATTGATATATGAAAAGTAGTTATTTTTTAATGTAGTAATGAGCAAGTGATTATGTATTGACTAATGACCATCAGCGTTCACTACTTCTGGGGAATTGTGGAGACTAATCTTTTCAGCTAACATCTCTAACCACCTAATCATACTTTTCAGTCACCTAATCCACATATTTTCGTGAGGTTGAGGAGGGGAACCATTATTGTCATGAATCTGTGATACAGTTTTTAGCCTTATCTCAAAACCTTTTGCAGTTTACACAAAATTCTGTGTTAAACTTTGAAATTACTTATTTAAAGCTTTATTACATATGATAGTTTTTGTGAAGATACCGATACTAAAAGATCGGCAACTTAGTGTTAGTATATCAAAAATACGCTCATTGACACTATGAAACGCTTTAATGAACAAGTAAGTCTTATTTACCTGTTTTCAGTACACATCAACAGCTCTTATCAAGTAAAGGGAGAACCATATAATACTGATTTTCGGAACAGCATCAGTAGTTTAGTACTTTGATAAACAACTCAAAGTTTATGAATCTGCTGTATGCACCGCTACATCAAATCATCCTACTGTAAATGGGCTGTATTTATGGATGAATAAATTTAATTTTAAAGTACTTACATTTCAACATATTTCACAGTTGTGATTGCTTAAAAAAGTATTTACTGAAATCTCATATTCTGCAAGAATAACGTTCCGGTTATCATATAGTGAATGTGTCCCACGACCATCCATTTATCTCACGAAGCAGAAATAACCGATCTACTTGTATTATTTCATTATTCTCATGTCATCAAATCATGGAGTATATCCACATTTATTTCAGATTTGTTCATCTGAAAGAATTAGCGTTGTCATTATTTTACTATAGTCTTAAAATAACCTTACTGAAGGTGAAATTTTAAATTATATCGTCGAACAGTTTGTGCATCGTGGAATTGATAAATTCACGTTGATCGGTCACTGAAGAGTAACAAACTTCATGTTGTTTAGCCGTAAGTGCTGACCGAATTCTATCGATCATTTTTTTTAATATGATCAACGAAACGGTCCATTTTGATTGGTGCTAAGTGGTTTGGGGTAATTGGCAGGAAGCACTACTTGACATAGGTTTCGTGCTTGTTAGAACTCGTCAGTAAGATCTAGGGTTTTCTGCCGATTGTTTTCAACTATTTGACATCAGTAACATGGGTTTATTGTGAATAGATTTAAACTGGGTGCTTACACAATGATCCATCCTTGAAATTTTGCCTTAGGTTAAAATTCGATTATTGGAATGATAACAGTCAGTGGTTTTGTTCGAAATAATATTAAAGCTTTACAAAGTTGACCTTTATGTGTAACGGTTCATTTCAAATTCATTTATAGCTAAGTTAATTTTATTTTGAATCCGACCGCGGTCCTCTGGACCAAGAAAAAGAACCTAGAAGACTTGGACTTCGTCGATGACTTGTGTCTGATGTCGCACAAACTTGAAGGTCTACAGGCAAAAACTAACAAGTTGACAGAAGAGGCGAGGCAGGGCAGCGAAGACGGAATTTCAAGTGGACATAGAGAAGACAGTGGTGATGAAGAAACCCAACCAACAACAACAGCAACAAACAGCTCCAATCACCATTAACGGGAGAAACTTAAAGGAAGTAGCCTCCTTCACCTATCCAGGAAGCCCTGTTTCAACTACAGGTGGCGGCACAGACGAGGACGTCAAAGCCAGCCAGGATCAGAAAAGCAAGACAGGCCTTTCTGCATTAACCTGAAACCAGTGTGGAGATCTTCTGCACTCAGCATGTGAACCAAGATGCGGATTTTCAACACCAACATCAAGTCAGTGCTCCTTTATGGTTCGGAGACTTGAAATCGCGTTACGAAAGGGATTTCCAACAAACTAAAGACATTCATCAACAACTACCTATACTGGCTCGTTACTGAAGATCAGATGGTCAGAAACAATAAGCAACCAGGAACTCTGGCTGGCTGGCAACGAACCAACGAAGCAAGAACCTATCGCTCAACAAATATGCACTGGGGAAGGAAGTGGAGATGGATTGGGCATACACTGAGAAGGCCGATTGGGGACATCACGCGTCAGGCCCTCGAGTAGAACCCCGATGGGAAACGACTAGTTGGGCATCCGGGGATGACATGGAGGAGATCGTGCGAGGAGGAAATGAGAGGTTGTGGGCTGTCGTGGAGCCAGGTTCAAAAGAATTCATAGAACAGAGTGTAATGGAGACATGCTACTGAAGCCCTATGTTTCATTAGGAACCCAAGGGACCAAGAATAATAATAATAATAATAATAATAATAATAATAACCATAATAATCAATACTAGTCTGCCAAACCACAGCTACTTCAGATGGTCAAAATGGTGATCAATATGATACTTCCTCTCTGTAATTCAGTTATATTTAGATTGGGATATGAAGTTCTAACTAGGCAGCCAGTGTGGGTATGATCAAGAGATAGTAACGTATCACAAATTCACATGGTGGTCGAGCAAAACCTTTGGTGATTTAATTAGAATAAAAGTGTGGTCAGCAGTCGGATCTTGCAACTCAGTTGGTAGAGCACTGAGCTGAAAACCCGGTGGTAGCTGATTCGAATCCGACCGCAGTTCAAATTTTCATTTTACCTTCAATTATCACCCACTTTCAATACTAGTCTGCCAAACCATGGCTATCTCAGACAGTCAAAATGAAAAACCAGAAAATCAATCATTCAACAACTAATTACATTTTGTTTTAATTGTAAAGAAATAAGTTATGATATGTCCTTGCAATAACAAGGCATAATCATACTTTGTAACACTACAAAATACCTTTTTTTCTCATATGTACTACACATTATCTACAGTTTTTGGAAGAATGTCCATCATTTGATACTCCATTGTCTTAACTGAAGCAAGTGAAAGAGAGTTTCAATCTATGTCGTTACTAACATATTTCAAGTTATCATTTTGATATGACGTATTTAGGATGGGCTTTGGAAAATCCCTATTTTTAATAGTTTTTATAACACTATAGCTGTATTATAGTTTAGGCCATCAGACATAAACTCGTATCGTTTTAAGTGTTTGGTAAATCGATACTAGCTGGTAAATTAGATTAGTAAGGCATAATAACTTATTCGTGCTAATTATTACCACTAAAATATTGAGTAATATCTCACCTGATCCTCAAGTCCGCGTACGCGTTGTTTGTAGCTTCTTTCTTTAAGCTGTAGTGTCTTCTGTGCATCATTTAAAGCATTTCTTTGACGATCCAGTTCGGTTTCTAATTCTTGACGTTGCTTTGTGTTAACCTCTACTAGTTGAGCTGCAAACTGTTCATCCTGTTGTGCCATATGTACCTAGACAGTTTTAATAAAATATTTCTTCCTTATTTCGTTTTATATTACAGGATTAGTTCTTATGAATAAGCATGAATCTGGTAGGTTAAAAACATCTAATTCAGAGAATAAAGATTTTTCGAGTTGTTATTCATCGAAGACTGACATCAGTTGGAGGAACAAAGGAAACCTGGGAGCACTGGACAGCTGTTTCGTCCTAGTATGGGACTCCTCAGCAGTGCGCACCCACGACCCCACCAGCGGGGATCGAACTCGCGACCTTCAGGTTCCGCGACCAGCGCGTTACCATTGAGCCACTGGGTCAGAACCCAATGCTCCTTTGTTCCTCCAACTGATGTTAGTCTTCGATGAATAACAACTTGAAATATTTCCAAATCTCCACAACCCCCTCAAAATTTAATTGAACTAGTGCTCGTTGGTGACTAGCTTCGAGAAGTATTCCCGAAGTTCCAATGACAAGTCGTGACCGGTGGAGTCAAGCCTGATGGCCGTGAGGACAAATACTCAACGATGACATTGGGTGGCGGTTGCTCTATATATCGTGAGCTAACAGAAGTTGGAAATATGGAGCATTGGATTCTGACCCAGTGGCTCAATGGTAACGCGCTGACCGCGGAACCTGAAGGTCGCGGGTCCGATCCCTGCTGGTGGGGCCGTGGGTGCGCACTGCTGAGGAGTCCCATACTAGGACGAAACAGCTGTCCAGTGCTCCCAGGTTTCCTTTGTTCCTCCAACTGATGTCAGTCTTCGATGAATAACAACTTGAAATATTTCCAAATCTCCACAACCCCCTCAAAATAAAGATTTTATTCTCCTAATATCATCAATCTACATTATAGTTCGTACAACTGTCGATGTCTTAAGAAAGCAACTTATGTTTTATATATATCCATTGTGGGAGGTTAGTTTTGGGTATAGCACATAAACGGTCGGTATACTTTTATTGCTGGCTCGTCACGAAAAGCATTTCCAACAAACTACAGACATACATCAACAGCTGCCGCCTACGCTCGATACTGAAAATAAGATGGCTAGAAAGAATAAGCAACCAGGAACTCTGGGGACATACCAACAAGGCAAGAACCTATCATCCAACAAATATGCAGAGGAAGAAAGTGGAGATGGATAGGGCATACACTGAGAAGGCTGATCGGGGACATCACGTGTCAGGCCAGGCCGTCGAGTGGAATCCGAAGGGGAAACGACGAGTTGGGCGTTGGAGGCGAGGATGACATGGAGGAGATGATGTGAGGGGAAATGAAAGGTTGTGGGCAGTGGTGGCGCTAGGTTGAAAAGACTGCAGAGAACAGAGTGCAATGGAGCCCTATGTTCCACTAAGAACCCAAGCGAAAAAATAATAATACTTTTATTGCAGAACTTAGCGCTGGCTTTTAAACTAAGCTTATATGACCTAAGTTAATTTATGAAAGCAACTTGAATTTATTGCAAACAGATAGCCAGGATGTAAAAATATCTATCTTAGCGGCAGTCAATAAAACTGATTGAACTTTGTTAGGACACGATTGTATTGCTTTCGCTTGGTAATAGTTATGATGGAAATCATTTAATATTTCTGTTTTTGGGAATAATTATGCATTCAAAAACTTGTAGAGAAGAGATAATTCAGCGAAAAAGATTTTGTTTTTCGACGATATCATTTACTAAAGCTGTACACTCGTATTTATTTATACATATTATAAACATATAACAGTCTATTGTAAAACAATAGGGTATAATTACATCATTAATTTAGTGCTCAAGAAACCCGAGTCAAGAATGCAAAGTAGTTGCATAATAAACTAAGACAGTAGAAATATCGAGGAGGGCAAGGAGTTTGACAAGGTCAATACTTGCTGGTAGATACGAAACGTAAATATTGAGTATTCACTTGATAGATAGATGTAAAGAAGGTGAAGAATGAGACAAGGGTCATAGTGAAGGTGGTAATAATAATCCAACTAATTATAATGAAATCGAAAAAATGTGAAAGTGTTAAGACCATGGTAAGATAAGAGATTGGACATACTTCTTTTGCACGCAGCGTTCAGGTTTGAATTGATGAATTGTCAGTGCTCCCGCTGTGCACAACTGTCGAAGGCGTACTCCTTTTAAACTATTCCATTTGACACGATAAATGACATTGAAGGAGAATTCTGGTCGAGCTTTATGTCCAGAGTTGACCGAATGTCCAAGAATTGAACTGTCAATTGATTTACATTCTCCCCTCGACAACCATGCTGGATAGTTCTCCGAGATACGTTTGGAAAGCTTGCGCTTTGTGCGGCCTATATAACTAGCTCCACAGGAGCAAGGTTGCCCAAAGTGGCAACTTGTCTACAGATTTACTTGCTCCTGTGGAGCTAGTTATATAGGCCATATAAAGCGCACGCTTTCCAAACGTATCTGGGAGCACTACCCTGCATATTTGGTGAGGGGAGAATGTAAATCAATTGACAGTTCAATTCTTGAACATTTGGTTAACACTGAACATAAAGCTCGACCAGTATCCCCCTTCAGTGTCATTTGTCGAGTCAAATGGAATAGTTTAAAAGGAGTACGCCTTCGACAGTTGTGCACAGCGGGAGCACTGACAATTCATCAATTCAAACCTGAACGCTGCGTGCAAAAGAAGTATGTCCAATCTCTTATCTTACCATGGTCTTAACACTTTCACATTTTTTCGATTTCATTATAATTAGTTGGATTATTATTACCACCTTCACTATGACCCTTGTCTCATTCTTCACCTTCTTTACATCTATCTATCAAGTGAATACTCAATATTTACGTTTCGTATCTACCAGCAAGTATTGACCTTGTCAAACTCCTTGCCCTCCTCGATATTTCTACTGTCTTAGTTTATTATGCAACTACTTTGCATTCTTGACTCGGGTTTCTTGAGCACTAAATTAATGATGTAATTATACCCTATTGTTTTACAATAGACTGTTATATGTTTATAATATGTATAAATAAATACGAGTGTACAGCTTTAGTAAATGATATCGTCGAAAAACAAAATCTTTTTCGCTGAATTATCTCTTTTCTATGACTAAATGGGCATGTTTCGTAGTCCAAAAACTTGTAATCACAAAATTTGAGTAACTTTTTGTTATCCTTTACGTAATCGCACTCGTTGCTGTGATATTAATCATAACCGAATGGACTAAACCAATAATTTGTACGACTAAAGAGTTATTTTTGACAATTATTAAAGCATTGGGCTTTACATATATCTATAAAGATTGTAAGCCATAACTTATTTGATGAAAGAGAATAATATTTCAGAGGTGGTATGTAGATCCATCTTTTCAGTCTTTTGCTTCATCACAGGACTCGAAATTGCAGCTGTTCGCTAATTATCTAAAAAATTGGTATCAGGTGAATCAAAGTTTTCCACCTAAGCACTTGAAGTTCTAATAAAAGGTTGAAGAAGGAATACATCTCTTGATTAACCTACCTTTCTAGAAACTTTCGTTAGGAGTCTGGAAAGACTACTTTCTAGATCATATCTAAAATTAGTTCATTTTGTATATTAAAGTCAGAAAGAGAGTGGTATGTGGAGGACTGTAGATCTCTGAAATATCTCCATAATTCACGCTGATTACCCAAGTGGTATGAAGATTATATTGACATTGTCTCTATTCCACAAGGTTTTTACTTAGTGGCGTTAAAGGTGGTTTTAAAATTCGAGTCCGAAATTGTTGGTATGATGTAAAAATAATACAGCAATCTAGTCGACATTGTTTGTGGTTTATCTTCCTTTCCCCTTGACTTAAATGCGCTCAGTTTAGATGAGAAATCCTGTGACTTATAGGTACTGATAGGCGGTAGTCATTTGTGCGTGCTTGTAACACAGGTGAATGGCATGCTGGGAGTGGAGTGCGACAATACATTGTCGAGCCATAGCATGTATACAGGTGGATGGTATATTGTAATTTAGTTGACTTAGATATACTTACGACCTAATACTTCCTTCGTACCATATGTTACACTGTAAAGAGGATGTTAGTGCTTGTAAAGGTGGGAACTAGTTGACACTTGTAATAGTTAGGCCCAAATGCGAAAGCTATTCTCATTACTAATCGTATAAACAGGTTTTATTGTGGTTTAGCGTAGTGGCAACCAGAGCAATGCATAAATTATTCTCAAGGATTTTAATTGAAGTTACTTGTTCACAGCTGAAAAACTAACACGTCCAGTATGATAGTGTCGATGATTCCTGCAATTCAGTGCGAAAATCCTCAGGTATGTTTTAAAACAACATGAACCATTTTGAAGAACACAAGAGAGAGAGAGAGAGAGAGAGTGGGGGAAAATCATTTTCGATACTAAGTATCATTTACAGCGTGTAATTTCCTGTCGATGGTTGGACTGAGTTGATCGGTCGCCAATGATATATATGCTCATATGCAGATACTTTGGTATTGCCAGTAGCTTTAGTTTGATAGTTATGGAAAATCCTAAATAGGATAACGCATGTTCTCGATTCCACTGCTAGACAGTGTCCATCATACCTGTCAAATGGAGTACTAGCGTTTGTCAAAAGTTGGTGTCATTGTTGGTATTGCTTGTGTATTCATTACACGTTTCGCTATCTCTTCAACTGTTAAATCTGAGTTGTGGTTATGAAGGTTTAGAGCTATAACACCAGGGGATCTGCGCACATGTTTATAATATTGCTATTCTCTATCTATTCTCAGTTAAAATATAGTGTAACGATTATTGTGTAAACTTCGTCACACTACTTTTAGTGTATTATGTTAAGAATTCTATATTATGGTATGGCTTATTGGTAATCCTATTTAGATAGTTTATCTTGAAGATGCCAGAAATCACTACACTACGTCAACAGCAGTGTATTTAACATTCTCACTTCATAAAGGTACTATGGTGTAAGTGGTACAGTTGAAAAACTGATACTTATTGGTATTTCAGGTTATTCCTTTTATGTCTTTCTGAGACCATAACTTTGAGATTCCTTTTGCTAAAATGGATATTACTTTTCTGCAGCATAGCACGCGAACGTTTACTACACAGTGATTAGTTATGGTTATACCACTGATAACGTACCTTGTGTATTCATTTGCCTATATGTAGAATGAATTAGTATGATGAAAGAATATCAAATAAAATTGATTGTCAGTTCATTTTTGTTTTGCGTTTACAAAGTAAGCCCCTTTAATGAATCGAAAAATAATCTAGCAACAAAAATATTAATGGTAAACATTAAAATCAGTAAAATTTACATACTTGAAGCTTTTGTATTTCACGTCGTAGATTTAATGTTTCTTCTTCTAGTCCACGAATAGTTCTCATCAATTCTGAATTCTCATTACGTAATGTGGTATTTAGTTCTTGCTCTCTTGCACATTCTCTTTCCATCTAAATCAAATTTGAAGTATTAAAACTTAATTAGACTATCTTACTGAGATGAACTTTATCGGTGATATTATTGTGTGAATAGTCTTTTTATTCATTTAAACGAAAGCAGATCATCCAAATCTGGATTTAAACGAAAGATATATATATCAATAGAAAAACCATTAGAAAACAAGGGATTCTGAACCCTGTTTTGGGGTTTCTCATGTTAGCTGCTGATCTTTTCGTTCGAGGATTAGTGTACTCATGACGTGGCTTGAGAATTATAGATATGATCTCATGAGTAGATAGTTAGAGATGAGTGTTGCTGACAGATCCCAAAACAGACTAAAATATATATCCTGTATCCAAAGTTGTGAAATATATCAATAAACTCAGCGGAATATCCTATTTCAAGAATCTGATGTTAGACAATAGATACACAATTGGTATATTGTCTAGTGTACACATATAAATTCCTTCTAACATTTTCTATGAACATGTTGAGTGAGACAGCAGTCATGATAGTCATCATGAAATGCTGTTCGTATGATTACAATCATGTTCTTATAGCATTTGAGAAAGTAGTTTCCAATCTCAGTGAAAAAAATTGTCATATTGAATGAAATTAGATTTCAAACCTGAATTACATAAGATAGGTAAACAGTAGTCGTGAAGAACCTGTGAACCTAGATGTGCATTTCGACGTGTATTGGCAGCAGTGAGTTGATGTTTAATTTGTGGTTGAAACCTTCTGTGCTTGTGACTTCCATCAGAGGTGTATGTTGCATTATTACTCAAGAGTTGGGTCACTCAGCTACCCGGAGGATTGTAGTCACTTACATATTGTTATCAGTTTAGTAGTTGAATCATGTATATCATGGAATCCTAAGGTAACTTATCAATTGTCATAGGTAAACGACATGGGTTCAAATCACAAGTTTATATAGAGACACCAGTACGCTAAATAAAAGCAACCAATATACTTAGTTATGAGGTTCTCTACTGTTTGCCCATGATCACGAAGTTGAGCAAGACTTGGCATAGAGCGGACTACAACCTAATCAGTAGTAGTTACAAAAAGTCCGTAGTTTAATGTCTTGGCTAGCGTTAACAGAAGTGATTCAACTATTTATGACACTTAATTATATTTATATTGAAAAGTTGTTTAAACTAGAATTATTTACCTGTTAATTACAGTTTGGAGAGGGTGAATAATAAAAAAAATACAAACATCAACAGCTAACAATATTCTCTCTACAAGACATACTTTTTCTGCCATTTTCTTCCACTGAACTTGTTCCTTCTTCACTCTATTTAATTCACAATCTATTTCATGTTTTTGTATTCCTACATCATTCATACTTCTCAGTAAATTGGCGTTTTTCTCTGTTAAATTAACGTTTTCAGCTGATATATATATGTATCAAAGATAAATTAGAAAAACAACTTTTAAACAAAAGTCTTATTTATTGAATCATTAATCGTAATACTTAGTTTTATTTTCAGATGAGTATTATTTAACTAATCTCATATTTCCTGTACTGATCTTAACGTTTATGGATCATAGATAGAAAAAAAAACCTGGTTTAATTTTACTCTAGCAGGTCGAAAAGAATAATTTGTGGTAATTTTTCAAAAACTCCTAAAAAACTTGGTCTTAAACATCAATATAGGAGATAGAAACTGAACTCGTTGGCTAAAAATTACCATATTCTACCGAATGACTTGCTTTTGAACGTCTACTGAGGTAAATTCAAACTCATATGCATGGACAAAGTTCTTTTTTTTTTCCCCGACATTTTTTCAAGTTTATTTCTGTATCAAAGTTAGGCAATACTGTTGACATCGCGTTAGACAAACCGATCTATTAGCGAATAAATGTATCTTGACTCATGAATACTATCATAATTATTTCCTGAATTTGTGAGATTCAATTGAATTTTGAAGAAAGCCATTGGAGTATTATCACTGCTGTCGCTGATGATGAACTGTCCAGAAAGTACGCATGTGTCATTAGTTGCAGGGGAATATTCAATCTTGTTATCTGTTTTTATAGTCTTATTGTAACAGGGTAAATAGGTGGGTAGTCAATCTAAGTGGAACATATTTGTGTTTAGAAAACAGAGACAGATTACACCTGTGATCATGATGAATGTTTCTTAGTGCATACCACTGAAGATCAACGGCAATTTAATATTTGTATCCTGTCCATGCGAGGCTAAGTATATGTATAGTACTCTAAAACTTTTTATCATGAGCTGAAGTCAACTGAAAAATTACTTCATAATGTGTAGGATCACTTCGTTAATTATACACAAACAGCTTTCTCCATATTGACATTTATCACAACTAAGTATCTTGTCAGCTGTGGTATTAATAAAGTTTCCATTGAAAATTATCAAGTCAATATCATAATCTCCATTTAAAGAATTTGGCTTTACAGTATAAAATTGTCTTAGCATTTCATTGATGAACTCAGCTCCAAATGATAGAAATAATTTTCTGGTACTTAAATCATTCTGATATGGCTAGCGAAATCTACAGATCACTGTAAAAGGTTTCTATGCATCTATATTGATAAGTAATTTGTTACAATGAATGATTGTACGGTTGATGTCTGCTTAAATTATTCACTTTCTCAAAAAGCAAAATGCAACGTATGTTGTATATGGAAAGCCGAAATGATATCTAGTTAAACGTACACCGATAACATGATATATATAGCTGCTAAAAATGCAGATATAATTTAATTCCTATCATAACTTGATAGTTTGCCAGAGTGTCTCAATGGATATTATTTAATAGCTTAATTCACTGGAAAGTAAATTTCAGTGCCTCCATATAACACAGTTATAATGCTCATTCGTTTGCTTTATATTCTTTAGTATATTTTTGCAGATTTCAATCTAGCATCTGGTCAGTACTTCATAGACCTTAAAAGGAAACACTAAACAATGACTTCTGGTAAACTAGTATACACTGACTGTCACAGTTTCACTGTAAACTTATGAGAATCAAAGGCATCGATACTTCTTATCTTTTAACAATGAAGTGTACAAAAGGCTTCATTAAAATGAAAATCTATTTTTATTTGATATTATAAAAGTTTTGACCATCTTACCTTGTATACTATTCAACTTCAGTTGTAACTCAGTGTTAGTATGTTGGCATTCTGTAGATAATTTTTCTAATTGCCTTAATTGTGTTTCAACTTCACTGCGTTTAACAGCGGCATCTGATGTTTCAGTTTGTAATTTCTGTACACGTTCCATCATTTCATGTAATTGAACCTTGGTATCATTCAATAGGCTCCTACTATTGTCCAAACGTTCCTAAAGATGTTATAAATTACTAAATGTTAGAATAATTATGCTAAGAAAAATTCACACATTTTGTTTTCCTAGAGAGTATCTTTGAACAAGTTGGTAAGGTTAGAAGATCGAGTAATGAAAACTTAAGAATTTTCGAAAATCAAGTAACTTTAGACACCCACTAGGCTTAGTTTGACTATCAAGGTTTGAGAAGTCATGTAGTATCATTAGCCCTTAAACATTAGTTGTAGCTGATTGTCTACTGCATGAACGTGCAGTATTCAGTGATGCAAGATGTCATCCAATCAGTTAGTTCCATCTGAAGTTACTTAGATGATTGATATAGTGTATGTAATGTCATTATTTAGAGAACTGTTCAGTGGGTAAGAGATTTCTCCACAATTCATAGATCTGACAGCATATTTTTAAGGTAGAAAATATTCTCAGCTCAGTCGGTTGAGAATTTAGTATTATTTTCGGTCTGTAATTGAAGTGAAGATAGGAGTAAGATAAGGCTACCGCCTAATATCACCGATCATCTTCCTGATTGTGGTCGACTAGACTGAATTATGCAGCGAACCGTAAGGAGCGAGAAGACAGGCATTTGCTGTTTAACCTATGAAAAAACCCTAGAAGATTTGGATTTCGCCAACGATGATGAGTTATGTCTAGTGTCTTGTCGCAAAAACTCGATCTACACACGAAAACCAACAAGTTGACAGAAGAGGCAAGGCAGTGTAGCGAAGACGGGACTTCAAGTGACTGTAAAGAAGACGGAGGTGATGAAGATACCCAACAAACAACATCAACAGCATCATCAACAACAAGCACCAATCACCATTAACGGGAGAAACCTAAAGGAAGTAGTCTGTTTCACTCACATACACCTACACACCTAGACAGCATCGTTTCAACCACAGGCATGACATGCACAGATGAGGACATGAGAGCCAGGATTTGAAAGACAACAAGACAGGCCTTCGTGTATTGATCTGAAATAAACAGTGTGGAGATCTACTGCACTCAGCACAAAGCGTGAACAACATGTGGATTTTGAACACGAATGTGAAGTAAGTCAGTACTGGTATATGGTTGAGAGACTTGGTGGGCGACGAATAGCACATCGAAGGAACAACCACTGACATACATCATCAACAGCTGCTACCTACACTGACTGGATACTGAAGATGGAGATGAGATGGTCAGAATAATAAGAATAAGCAAGAAGTAACTGACTGTGGCTGGCGACGAAGAAGGGATGGAAGAACCTGTCACCGGAGAAATATGCATATGAGGAAAGTGGAGATGGATTTGATTGGGCATAGACTGAGAAGACCGATTGGGGACGTCATGCGTCAGGCTAGGCGAGGCGGTCGAGTGGAATGTGAAGGAGAAACGACGAGTTTGGCGTTAGAGGCGAGGGTGAGATGGAGGGTTGATGTGAGGAAGGAATGAAAGGTTATGGACAGTTGTGGAGCGAGGTTGGAAAGACTGGAGAGAAGAGAGTGTAATGGAGGCGTGTTACTGAATCCCTATGTTCTACTGGGAACCCAAGGGAATATAATAATAATAATAATAATAATAATAATAATAATAATAATAATAATAATAATAATAATAATAATTAGTGTCTTAGCTGAACTTTCGATAAGCAAATGCAGTTTTCGCTCCAAAGGTAGGTATTTTACCCCTTTACTAAATATGGTGATAGAATAACGTCACAATGGTTTTTCATGAAAAATTTAGTTTGAAATATTAGTGCAACAATGCATACGAGTTTCGTACTTAATAATTACTTAAAGAAACGTTTCAGCTTAAACACTTTTTTGAATTTGCAGTAGAGATTGAATGTGTTGTAGTACATTTTCACTATGAAACATCAATGTTTCCTTAATGCATACAGAGTGTGTTCATAAAGAGATGAGATCATAGATGCTGTTACAGAACTGATAGGGTTATGATTACATTTTCACAGAAATAGATTATATATGATCGCATTTGGGTATATCTTTGTGTAAGTAAACTCAAATTCATCAGTAAGCATATTATCAAACCTGTAGTAAACGCTTTTCTTGTTCTGCATTCAATTCACGTTTTTGTAGGGCTTCCATATGTTCCTGTGTTTTGGTTAATTCTTGTTGTAAATTTGTGTATGCCATTTTTTCACGTGCCAATTGATCTCGTAATTCAGATATACATAGAGTAGTTTGATCTAAAGCATTTGTAGCTCTTTCTAACTCAATTTGAAGATTATAAATTTTCATTTCCATTTCTGTACCCTGTCGCCCGGTCAAATTTAATCGAGATTGTAAATTCTATTGTAAATATTAAAAAAAGTAAGGGGGGGGGGAAAAATTACTTTGAATAATCTGATTTTGATAAAAAGAAGAATGAGTAACTAGAAATACTGGTTTCAGTTAAGATTGCTGTTTATTTGAGTAATCATACTACACTAAAAATTGTTTTACATATAAAAACAGAAACAAATCAGTGTCGAAATAAAAGTTGTGAGTAGGAATTGAACTCACTATTCTCTAGTTTAGTATACCTTGTCAGTTTCAAGGAACTAATTAGCATACACCAGAATAACTGTCTTGAATCTTAAGGAATTGTATGCTTTTCTGAAATTCGAAGAAGTATCATTGAACATTATAATTAGAAGCGTGTTAGTTGATCTGTTCAAAGTGTCACCAATCTTCAGGTTTGAAATAAGCTTATTAATTTGCGATGGTATAGTATATTATAGTTCATCTGAGTAAATTATTAATTTGATGGATACTATAAGAATTACTGATGAATTACTCGGCTGTAAAAGGAATTACACATTGATGTCTGCACTAATAATTCATGATCTACCCGACTTCAGAGTTCAAATATGATTCTTCTTTCGTTGAAAAAGCTTAACAATTTAGTTGATATATGTATCAATGAGTGAATAAATTACATAATACTTCTTTATTGTTACTAATTCTTGAGTACACTGGTATATACAATAAAAAATAAATGTTATTCTTAATGAAATGTAAAGGCTTTTTGAAAGATAAACATTCCTATTCCTGAGCACCACCTATCATGGCTGAATAAGGGACAGATTAGAAAAATAAAAAGCTCTATACTTCTACACCTAGTTGATGCTGAACATTAAGTGGATATCAGCAACAAAAAAAACTTAAGATCATTTGTTGTGAACCAATTAATTTACTACATGGATTACGTAATAACTTAGTTCATACAACAAAAGCGATTGTCATCCAGGTTTACTAAGCTAACTTTTCTATTCAAAAGAAATTTGTGCAACCTCTTACATTATCATTGCTGTCAGCATAATGTAACTTCCAGTATTACTTTATATCCTTTTCCCCTCTACTGTAAATATTCTTTTGATTTCTTATTCTCACTTAATTACTTATTGTTTATAACTGAAAATCCAAAGAAAAACTTCATCTACTTTATTAATTATGCAATTATAATTACTTTTTGCTGATTATCATCTTTGTATAGTTATTCTGTTGAATATTTGAGTCTTGATTTCTCAAAATTATTATCTTCATAACTTACTTAAAATCCATAGTCATTGTTAATCAATCCTCCTTCTCTCCCCTCAACTTGATTGATATTCTGATATGAATTGTAAACCTATACATTAGTTTAGAACCTAAGACGAAGACTTAATTGAAAAGGAGTATATTTCTCTGCTGAATCAGTCTTTTTTCTAAATGAAGATTTTCAGTATACTTCCAAGATTACTTCAGAGTTAATTAACGAATGGATATATTAAAGTGGATATGATTTTTACTTTTCCAATCTAACTGACTTGTAAGTTCTTGTAACTTCTTGACTACATGATATTTGGACCGAAATTCCTATTCTCTGAACACTTATATACATTTCATGAAATTAATTTCTAGTTCATTAGCTATAACAATGAGTGACATAATGTCAATGAGTAAACCTATTTGTGTCATTATTATTCTCAAGAAAGCTAATAATAATTTATTGTTTCTTATGAATTCACTCAAATACTTCAAGTGAGACAATACACTACTCAAAAGCACTTACCTCTTTATCACTTTCCAATTCACCTAGCATAGTTTGACATCGTTGAAGTTCACCTTCTAGTTGGCGTCGAATAATTTCAGCCTGTGTATAGCGTGTTTCTGCCTCTTCTAGTGAACGTAACAATTCTCGTCTATCCTCTTCTAATTTCATTTCAGTGGCTCTTGATTTATCAAAACGTGTCTAATTAAGAAATGGACAGTGTTTTAAGTTATGTGTGTGTTTGTTATTTTAGGACGATGGTCAGGAATGCAAGAAATTCAAAGTTGTGGTCAAAGGTGCTACATTACCAATTCATTATTAGATTAGATCGACTATGATACCCGCTTTAGCCATTAAGTGTTGAGTTACTGAACATAAAATGCATTCAGTACTTTCGAGTAGTCAGCACATTATAGGGAGATAAAGGTGAACGAAGAATCTTGGTATCGTCGCTAAAAAAAACATACAACTCAACGATGTACAGCTCTACGAGATTAAGTATGAAGCGCAACTACTGTATGAAGGCTGTTGCACTCCGTAACTGCTCAGACCTCGCTAAATGGAGTAAAGTTCGAACCCATAATTTGATTAGGTTTACAGTACATATTCCTTCCATTAAACTCTATTAAACTGTTTTTACCATGTCATCCAACTTTTAAAGAGTCATTTAAGGCTTTAATTGAAATGAGAGTGAATTATTTTGCTACTGTAAGATGTAAAAAAACTAGTGGATATGAAGAGATACAAGTTTCATTCTTTCTGACAGGAACGTGATCAAACCACTGGTGGATTGTCTAAGTATTATGCAGCTAAGCGTGTTAGTAATGTAGTGAAGTTATGGAAAATTAGTAAAATACAATTTAGCGAAGAAAAATTTCTTTTCGGCGGTTTACTTTCAAAAGCTGTACAGTTGTAATCATACTTACAACAAAATATATATATCCATCAGTGGCTAGTGAGTCAATGCAAGGTCATCAAAAATTACTTATAGGATTACCGTAAATAAAAAAAAAACGAATCAACTGTCTTAGAAAGATTATGACTAGGGTGAAATTATAGATTGAATGTATCCCTTTTGAACACAAAGATCAGCTTTGCTGGAATACCAAGGGCTCTGGTGTGTTGAGGTGGCTAAGACGCACTGCCTTCAAAATGTTTGACTTTTCTTTGTAAATGACTTTGAAAGAAAATTCTCGTGGAGCAAACTGACCAGAGATAACCAAATACCGAAGAATCGAGCTGTTAATGGCTTTACACTGTCCTTTATCATTTGACTATCTGAGATAGTTCTTTAGACAGTCAAGCAGGTACGTTTGGATAAAACACGCTTTATGCGGCCTATGTAACCAGCTTCACACGAGCAGATGAATCGATAAACACATGGAGGTCACCGAAAGCAGTAATTTGTCTTTTACACACCATCGAGTCAGTTTTTGACTGTAGAAAACAATCCGAAGCTGAGTGGGAAAGAAGGCCTTCTGTAGTTTTTTGCAAAGTTGATTCTTTAGTATATCTGCCAATGTTTCTCCCTTGAGTCTAATATTCATAAACAGTATGTTCTTTGGAATCGTAGGAGTTTGCTTTTAAAAATTCTTGGGCCTTATGTTCCTCTCAAATAATCTTGAAGAGTAACAACTCTCGTTTAATACTCTTCGAAGTATTTCCAGCTTCTCATTTACTGCATCATACGTACAAATTTTTCTTATTCATTTGCATAGTGAATGAATTAGATTTCTTTTCCAGACTAGTAGAACTCAGCTTTAAAAATGAATATACTGACCATTACAGTTTTTTTCTCTGTAAATCGATCTCCTTAGGGAATCTTCATATCCTCTCATTGATACACATTTTATTGTAGGTATGATTATGATTGTACAGCTTTCGAAAATGATTCGTTGAAAAGAAAATTTTCGTTTTTTTAATTTTTTTATCATCTAATGGAACACAGATTACGTGGAACTATTCTAACGAAAGTGTTCTCAAATAAACTGAAAACACATTCATTCAATAATGTTTTACGAAATTTTATGCTTGCGATGAAAATGTCATCATGAAAAGAAATTATAGTTTCGGTGATTTCAAATAGATAACATTTTTCAATTCAAACAATTTGTTTTTTTGAAGGGAACTGTGTTGAGATTTCATAGTCATGTCTTAGTTAGTTGTACTATAATTTTCATAGACTTAGTTCCATAATGATTCAGCTTGATTCTGAAATAATACTACTTTATTGAAGTAGTCCTTGATCAAAATCTAATTTTTTAATTTAATAGCATAAATTGTTATAGGGTTGTTTATATTCAACATATAAGTATTGCAGCTAGTGGTAAAGATGTAGATAGTGAGACATAAAATTGTATTCTTATGTTGAGTTCATGGTTTCTGTTTACTAAGACTTGTCAGTAGATAGCCTTAGTGATTCCAATAAATATCCTTCATTATACTAGTTTATGACTTTGTAGTAAAGCTATTTTATCTATAGCTCACACGGAGAGGGACTAGATTGTGCATATGAATTGTTTAATGCGAACCAAGTATTGTGATTCACTGACTTAGGCAGTTAATTTTCAACTAATTGATTTAGGAGTTTGAATCCCATTCAATTAAATGAAGCTTTGAAAGTCAGATGATATCACTGACAGGAATCGCTGAACGTATGTCTAGTACTTGTTGAAACTAATCAGCAAAGCGTATCTGCAGCCCCATCTATAACATCTCTGACATAAGGATTGGGTGATGCGGCTTTAATTCTTTACTGAAACATCGATTCCCTACAGATTGCAGGTATGTCTTATCGACAAGTGCCAACAAGCATGAAACCTATGTCCAGTACTTCCTGCTAATTATCTCGAGCCATGTAATATCGGTTCAGGTGTACAGTGACGCTGCATCCCCTGCCTTAGTGACCAAATTACACAGTTCGGTCAGCACTTAGGACTACATAGCATGAAAATAGTTACTCTTCAGTGACTAATCAATTCCATGATCTATATAGGTCACACACACACAGTTGTTGAGTTGCGATGTATTTGTTTGATTACTATCTTAATCTAATTTTCAATTTTGACTAAGGAATTTATTGTCAATCTTATTATTACTGTAGATCAAATAGATTAGTGATAAATGGTTTAGTCCCACGATTGCGTAACACGAATTCGAGTCATTTAGGCAACAGGTTTCCTAAAGATTGCAGATATACCTTACTGATAATCACTAATGAGCACGAAATCGAAGTCTCAGATTTCCATCTGTCTGACTGACTCTTAACATCTAAAAGTGTTGCATTACTTAGTATTCGATGTGTGAATGAGAGTAGGATTTTCGAATAATGAAGAACAAATAAATAATACTAGATCACTGTGTATTATAAATTGAATAAACAAATCTAATATGGAATTACATTCTACCACAGTCCCCAAGTTTTACACCCATACTGAGAATAAACCCTGTTTGTATAATGATGACTATAGAAAATAGAAAAATCTTTTCCATCTTTTAAACTTACTCAAGATCAGGCCCTACTATATCTTTTCTTGATTTGTCGTTTCAAGTATTTAATTTAAGTGTTTCAGTAACTGCCACTTGCAAAGATGAAGTTAGTTAGCAAATACAACTAAATGTATCGCATAACTACAGTTGAAATATATAAGATTTCTCATTTGTTCACTTTGATGTTCATTTCTAAATTCAACTTCTGTTGTTGAGAGCTAGATTAAATGCATTATGAGACTTCTATTACAACGCTCAATAACATCTGTCTATATGGCCTATCATGAACTTGGATGGTATATAATTCACTTTCAGACTAACTTGCTATTTAGACTGTTCTTATGTGTCGCTTCCTTGTAATCGTGTCGTTTCGATTTTCCAAATTGTTTTCATATATTATTATAACCGGAAGAGGCTGGCTTCAGGAAGAACAAACCATGTATGGATCAAATTGCAACGCTACGCATCATCACAGAACAGAGCATAGAACAGCAGTCAACTGGATCTTTACCTCAACTTCATTGACTTTGAAAAGGCCTTCGACACCGTCGACCGAGAAGTAATTTGACAACTGCTGCTTCAACACTACGGAATACCACAAACCTTTATCAACGTCGTTCAACAACTATATGAAGACACCACATGCCAAGTAATTCACAATGGTAAGCTCAGTGGTGCCTTTGAAGTGAAGACAGGAGTAAGGAAAGGCTGTCTTCCACCACCTATGATCTTCATGAATGTGGTCGACTGGACTAGATCGTGCAGCAAACCGTGAGGAGTGAGAAGACGGGCATTTGCTGTTTAACCTATGAAAAAACCCTAGAAGATTTGGATTTCGCCAACGATGATGATTTATGTCTAGTGTCTTGTCGCAAAAACTCGATCTACACACGAAAACCAACAAGTTGACAGAAGAGGTGAGGCGAGGCAGTGTAGCGGAGACGGGACTTCAAGTGAATGTAGAGAAGACGGAGGTGATGAAGATACCCAACAAACAACATCAACAGCATCATCAACAACAAGCACCAATCACCATTAACGGGAGAAACCTAAAGGAAGTAGTCTGTTTCACTCACATACACCTACACACCTAGACAGCATCGTTTCAACCACAGGCATGATATGCACAGATGAGGACATGAGAGCCAGGATTTGAAAGACAACAAGACAGGCCTTCGCGTATTAATCTGAAATAAACAGTGTGGAGATCTACTGCACTCAGCACAAAGCGTGAACAACATGTGGATTTTGAACACGAATGTGAAGTAAGTCAGTACTGGTATATGGTTGAGAGACTTGGTGGGCGACGAATAGCACATCGAAGGAACAACCACTGACATACATCATCAACAGCTGCTGCCTACACTGACTGGATAGTGAAGATGGAGATGAGATGGTCAGAATAATAAGAATAAGCAAGAAATAACTCACTCTGGCTGGCCAGGCGAGGCGGTCGAGTGGAATGTGAAGGAGAAACGACGAGTTTGGCGTTAGAGGCGAGGGTGAGATGGAGGGGTTGATGTGAGGAAGGAATGAAAGGTTATGGACAGTTGTGGAGCGAGGTTGGAAAGACTGGAGAGAAGAGAGTGTAATGGAGGCGTGTTACTGAATCCCTATGTTCTACTGGGAACCCAAGGGAAAATAATAATAATAACAGTAATGATATTTGTAACCCTATGTTTATGAGCTTTCATTATAACGTTTTGTGGAATTTTTAGTTTGAAAATTACTTAAATGTACTTGTCAGTCAGCATCAATGTGGAATTTAGGGTTACTGCCTAACGATCCGAGTTGTGATATCTGAGCACATCAAGTTAATAGGACATAAGTTCTAAGTTATATGACGTACATTCTCCAATCAGTGATTTCTGTTACTATATGGATACCAACTGGAAAGTTTACATTTCCTTCTATTATACTGCTCAAACTAATTTTCATCTCTACATGATCATTGAAAAGCGATAATGTGATGAAGATTTATAATATATATAGATGTACTATCGAATTTGATGGATAAGTGGGAAAAAAAAATTTCTTACCTGTATTTGATTTTTTTCTGCTTCACATGAACTTAATTGTAGTTCTAAACTTTTAATTTGATCATGTAATGTAGTGTATTGATATTCTCGTTTAGACATTTCATTTTCATGTTCTGTAATTGTATTTTTCATTTTATTTAGTTGTTCCAAAATTTCCAATTTTCCTGTTCCCCGTGTTTGTTTGTTTTTTTACAAAAAAAAAAATGAAAATGTAATAAATTGGAGTATTTTTGAAAAAAAAAATTATAATAAACTCTTCAATGTATTGATTAGTCAAGGGAGTGCAACCAATTTCATGTTGTCTAGTCCTAAGTGCAGACCGAATTCTACCGATCATATTTGTAATGTGTGCAACCAAGCTAGGAAGCTCAGTATAGCGGTGCACATTAGTAGATGTTAGTTGGTTGGAGGCAATCGACAGGAAGCACTGGACCTAAGTTTCGTGTATCTACAACCTCGACGGAACTGATGTAGGTAACCAATCAATACATGTAAGCCAGTCCTACAGGAGGTTAGTCGCGGCCCGAATAGTTCAGTGGTAAAGTCGCTGGCTATAACACTGGTTGACGAGGGTTCGGATCTCAGGCGAGGCATCAGTTTCGTCGAAGTTACGGATACGTCTTGCTGACGAATGCCAAAAAGCACGAAATCTAGGTCAGACAGGGCTTCCTATCGATTGCCTCCAACTAACAAACTCTTTAATGCTTTTGATACCTCCTTAACTTCCAAACTAGTAACCTTCATCTTATTACAATCATATTCTATAAAATATAAATTAGTCTTACAGTTATGATGGAAAATTTCTTTTCAAATTTTAATCCAAACATATTTTTATATATACTTTCTGTAAGTTTAATTTTTCGTGAGCCATGGGCTTCAATATTGAAAGAAACGCCATCATCCTTGTTTATTGCATATTAGTTGGGTTTAATCAATATCACCTAGCTTAATGTAAACACATAGCCACTTAACAGTTAATCATGAAGAACGAGATAGAAAAATGCACAGTATTTGCTACAGTGTAAGAGTAGAAGGTGAGCACTATGGTAGATTGTTTATTTGATATAGTACAATGATTACTTACTGGATGACATTTTGAGTATAATTTATTGTTCATAAACACATCAAGGGGAGCGAGAAGAGGGGGATACGTTGGACCGCGGAAAAAAACCTAGAAGATTTGAAATTCGCATATGACTTGTGTCTAATGTCACATTAACTGGGAGATCTACAGGCGAAAACTAGCAAGTTGTCAGAAGAGGCAGCGAAGATGGGACTTCAAGTGAATATAGAGAAGACGGAGGTGATGAAGATACCCAAACAACAAAACCAACAACAACAAACTCCAATCATTATGAACGGGAGAAACTTAAAGGAAGTAACCTCCTTCACCTATCTAAGCAGCACTGTTTCAACTATAGGCAACGCAGGCACAGACGAGGATGTCAAAGTCAGAATCGGAAAAGCAGGACAGGCGTTCATTAGCCTGAAACCAATGTGGAGATCTGCACTCAGCATGTGGAACGAGATGCGGATTTTCAACATCAACGTCAAGTCAGTGCTCCTGTATGGTTCAGAAACTTGGCGCGTTACGAAAGGGATTTCCAACAAACTACAGACATTCATCAACAATTGCCACTTACGCTTGTTACTGAAGCTCAGACGGCAACAAGGAACTCTGGAAACGAACTAACTAAGAACCTGTCGCTCAACAAATATGCACTGGAAGAAAGTGGAGATGGATTGGGCATACACTGAGAAGGCCGATTGGGGACACCACGCATCAGGCCCTCGAGCGGAACGGCGATAGGAAGCGACGAGTTGGGTGTCGGTGTCGAGGGTGACATGGAGGAGATGGTGCGAGGAGGAAATGAGAGCTTGTGGGCAGTGGTGGAGCCAGGTTCAAAAGATTTCAGGGAGCATAGCGCATTGGAGACGTGCTACTGAATCCCTGTGTTCCATTAGGAACCCAAGGGACAAATAAATAATAATATAATAATAATCACATCAAGGTAATCTCACAATTTTCCAGCATTAATTTTATAGTTCAACAACTCTTTATTCTTTCATTTTCAGTGTTGGTAGAACTTTCTGAACGTTTGCCATATGTGATAAATCATTCCTATTGTACTTTCGATGCACCTACCTATAGTGGTTTTTAGGAATATCACCTTGTATTATGGTTATGAGTCAGTGTTGGGATAACGATAGCCGAACTTTCCTTTAGACTATTTATCTCAGTAGAAACTATGGTTCAATATTTCGCTATTTATGCTCCACTATCCGAGCTGACAGCGATCGGCTACTTTAGCTTATGTACTTAACCTCACAATCATTAAATTATGTTTGATAAATTAGATTGCTTCGCTTAATTGAATCTGTAGGATCTTTATATCTCTCTGTGAGTGAATTTATGGGTTCAAATGTCAGATTAATCGCATGATTGTTAAGAATCAATCCTAAGCAGAATTTACAATATTCCTTCTTTATATAGCAACACTACAGTGGATTTGAATTCCCTGTTGGACATATTACCATTACAATTAGTATTATTGCTGCTTCCCTTATGAGTCCTCACGATGAGGATAGTTATTTAGTAATAGTATCTATTTAATATGTTTGAGTCTGTTTAGATTTCCAAAGGAGCACTCAATTCATAAGAATGACGTATATATGCTACTGATACTTTTCAGCCGGAAAAAAAGCAAGTTCAAAAGTGATTTCTATGTGGCGCAAAATTATTGTCATTAAAATATGTTAAATTGTTAAACAACAGAATGAATAGTATAATTGCTTGTACTATACCATCGTTGATTGGACCGAATTGACCGGTCTCTATTGGCATATGAGTTCCTGTGCAGATGCCTCGATATTGCCTGTGTTTTAATTCTATATAGTGATGATCGATAGTGGCTAACAGTGGAATTTAGGGTGCGCATTTCGTCCTATTTGGAACTCGTCAGCTGGAAGTACCTGCCTCCCAGTGAGTGATGTTGTTCCCACCGGGACTTGAGAGCGATCGCTTCAAATGCCAGAACTTTATCCACTACACCATCGAGTTACGAATCCCGATGGGAATAACATCACTCACTGGGAAGTAGGTATATCCAGCTGACGAGTCCTAAATAGGGCGAAGCGCGCATCTTAGATTCCACTGCTAGCCACTATCCATCTGTACTACAAGAGAATTAATGGTTCACTATGAATCAGAAGTATTTACTTTCTTGATTCAAACGAATATTTGTGTACTATTGATTTCATACAAAAACACCTTGTTTCAGAAAACAATGAGTAACATGTATATCAGATAATTATGCTGGAATATTATAATACAATATGAAATTTCCTGTCTGCTTTATTTCTGACTGACAACTGCTTCATTGTATATAACGCCAGGCACTTCAATCAGTGAAGATCTAGATATATGAAGCAGTCCACTTTTGCATAAGTATTTGTAACTGACAAATTCATTTATAATACTGAACTTGGCTAATGAGATTCTGAATATATCAGTGCGCTCGGATTTTAATTTACTAGTATCTATAACTACACTTGACTGTCTTATAACAAAAAATCAGGTTCAGGGGACAGAGGATCTTGTTATTCATAACGAAATACCAACAAGAAAAGAAAAGTATAAGCTCATTGCATTAAAGTATGCTCTATCAAATCAACAATATTTTTAACTTGTTTTTAACATACCCTTTTCCATATCATTAATATTTGTCCTCATTTGATTAAGTTGTTCTTCTCGTTCATTTAATTGTCGACTATATTCGACAATCTTTTCTTCATTTAATCTTGTTCTTATATCAAAATCATCTCGTTCACGTTCAATTTTAACAAGATGACGTAAAAATCGTCGTAGTGCTAAACGTACAGCACCTGGATCTAAATTAGAACCTGGTAAAGCATGTGTTCTATAACCATTCATATGATAACGTAGTGTATCTAACCATCTGGAAGACCAATCAGAAAGATGTGTAATACAATTTGTATCCAACACAGCTACATTTTCATCATGTGAATACAATGCACTTTTAATTAACTTTTGTTGATTAGCTCTTTCAGTGGATGTTGAACGTAGAATGAATCCATCATGCTTGGTAGCTATAATATCAGTAGAAGAAATGAAGTTATACCAAAGAATATAATCCATTTTTTTTAGTTAAGAATGAGTAAATTAATCATTTTAGATTTGTTTCAATCATTCTGGAATCGAGACTAAATTCGCGAAGTAGCTTAAATATTTTATTATCATCATTTTTTTCCTTATATGAGGCTTATGAAGTAAGGTTATCTACGTATAAGATGAATTCCATGTATTTATGTATTTTATTTTCAAATGGTAGTATTCCTTATCACCAAATATTAAGTGTTTAACGTGCTGTTATTGACAAACAAAGTCTGTCCTATATTCCAGACGTATTTATCCTGGTCTGACATCAGTCGGAGAAACACTGGGGGACTAGATAGCTATTTCATCCTAGTATGGGTCCCGTCAGCTAGGGTTGCCCATGATCCCGTTAGGGATTGAATCCAAGACCTTCAGGTTTCGCGACCAGCCCGTCACGATTGAGTCACTGGGTCGGAATCCAATAACCCATATTTCCTACTGTCAGTTCGCGATTTTGAATTTCGCTCCCATTTCTAGATTTTACTGAAGGAAACTAGTTTTTCTACCTTCAGTGATTCATAAATGGACTTTTTCTTGATGGATTATGATAGATGATATACTGTCACGTAAAGGTATTGCAGAACTGCTAAATGAGTTGGAAACCTTAGGAGGTTCAACGGTTCCACTTTTTATTTCAATCTTTTAAAATTAGATCATAGTGTCATCACAAAACCAATTAATTAGTTAACTGAATCCTTAGTTACTAAGTAATAGCTTGTGAGGAACTGAGTGGTGGTATACCTTTCGATACAGCCCAGTGGTCCTTCACGAAAACCAACTTACTTAAATGGTCATGAGGTATTCTTTGGAATTACTTACCTTAATGGATAGGTGTTAAAAATTAGTTCCAATCGGGTGTATATCAGATTATTTAACAACAAATAAGGAATGATAAACTAGGGGTTCGATATGATTCATGCTTACTACTGACCGTATCAGTGGAACCGAATCTAACTGCAGAACAACTCTACTCAGATTAGTATTACTAATTAGTGACATAATCGGCATTTTCTGTATGTAGAAAATAACGGGGATACAACTTTGTGTATACTATTATCCTTTATACAAGCTTGTTGCCTTTTCAAAAAAACATGCTTCGTTTCTAAACCTGTATAGATTGTTTTACTAAAATCTTAACGTTGAATGAATAAACTGTTTGCAGTATATTTGGATTTTTAAGTCATTGTGTAAAGTTGACTAAATTAGAAGAAATTTTTATTATCCTTCAAGGGACACATTTATTTTTCTTGGTTTGAGTGCCTCTGAGAATCCCTGATCTTGACCCGTTTAGAATCCTTGGTTCATGTGAAAAGATTTCTCAAAATACACGTTTGAAATAACTCATTCCTGTAAATTCAAGTAATTTATCTACCCTTTTCAAATTCCAATAGGAAGCCACTGATTTTGAACTGCACTATGATCTAACATATGTTGGCATATCATGGAATAACTTGTTAACCAAAATACTAATGGTTCTTAACTCCTTGAATTCAAAAGTTTATTTATTTTTCCATCATATTTTTTATTAGCTAAAACAGATTACATATCTAGCGTGGAGTTATTTTAACCGAACAACTCTCTGTTCACTAATTTGGTCGGTTGTGTCTAGCAGTAGAATCCAGGACGCGCGTTTCGTCATATTTGGGACTAGTCAGATGGATATACCTGCACCCCAGTGATATTGTTCGCAATGAGACTCGAACCTCGTATCCATCACTTCAAACGCCAAGGCGTTATCCACTATGCCACAGAGGAACGATAGCCACTTCTTGTACAACGGGTAGTAGTTATTACTATTTATTGACATACTTTTTATTCTCCGTTGTTTTGTTGGATCGACCTCTATTGGCAAATGGGCTTCTATGCGGGGATGCCTCCAGCTGACGAGTCCCAAATAGGACGGAACGTGCATCCTGAATTCTTCTGCTAGCCACAACCAACCAACTTATCATAATTAACATTCAGGCAATATCGAGGTATCCGCATAGGAGCCCATATGCCAACGTAGATCGAACAATTCGACCCAACAAAACAACGGAGAATAACAAGTATGTCAATAAATAGTAATAACTACTACCCGTTGTACAAGAAGTGGCTATCATCCCTCTGTGGCATAGTGGATAACGCCTTGGCGTTTGAAGTGATGGATACGAGGTTTGAGTCTCATTGGGAACAATATCACTGGGGTACAGGTGCATTCAGTTGACGAGTCCCAAATATGACTAAACGCGCGTCCTGGATTCTCCTGTTAGCCACAATCACTTCATCTTGTCACTCTCATATTACATTTCACTTTGAACACTCTGTTCTTTTCAACAATAATATTGAAGCCTACATTTCCCAATCGTGTTGATTTTTTGAGCAATATGTAATCATTTTCAATTTTTAAAATCGAAATTGACTTGTAATAATGGCAATAAATCGTTTAATGTCACAAGTAAAAATCTTTTTTTCTGAAGGCTTTCAATCTCTAGACTTCAAGAATTAAATATATTTAACTGAGCTAATCTATTGTTATATTTTTCATAAAATTTGGTATCAGGTCAGGTATTAGGTCAATACTGTATTCTCTGCCTACTTTAATGTTTTCATTGAAACATAAGAGAATGGCTTCAATGAACGAAGTTGTCTTCAGGGATATCATTCCCAAAAGCTATACAATCGTGTTCAACATCAAAGAGACATCTGGTTGCAGTTAATTCTGTACTAGGCCTACGCTAAGCAGATGTCTGTATATCTTAATTGGAAACAACTGCTGTAAGCCTAGTTATGGTACACTTGAAATTCTACATACAGATGACATATCTATCAAATGTGGCATAGTATTAAATTTATAGAATATACCAAGTGCTTATAATTGGTGTCATTCAATCATTGCCCCTAACAATGAAAACGAATCTGCATTTGAAGATGTCGTTTCTTGATATCTTGCTAACATGGAGATAGGATGAACTATTTAAGAGTTCTACTTATCAAAAATCTCCATGGGATGAACAATCGACTAGTGTTTTAAGCAACGTTCTTGTCAGTATGAAGTGAAATTTAGTCCATGCCGGAAAATTTACACAACTGAAACATCCGAAGAATAGGATTTCAGAGGTCTATGTTAATAAAAAATGGATACGCATAAAAACATATCAATACTAGTCTTCCAAAAATTAGACATTATAGATGAAAAGAAACTGTATTTAGATTTAGAATTCATCAGCGACAAAGATGGGACTCTAAAGCATAGATTAGTTAAAGTTGTCTAGATGAAATTCTATGTCGTGACACTGTAAATCACTTATACTAAACATTTAACAAGAAAACATCTTTACAAATGACAAACTACCATTGTTAGCCGTTTCAATGTGCATATTTCAGCTCATATAAGTTTGTCTGGCTAGATATGTAGACAGAGGTAGATTTTTGGCTATGGTGAAAACACTTCCCATCATTTTTAAGTAAGACTTTCATCCTACATCATTTAGTTGATAAAATATGCACAGTTTCACAAGATTCATTTCCTGTAGCTCATTGAATTCAAAAAACACTTTACAAGAGTGTGAATAAGTGTTTATCACGCAATATTGAAGCTTTAACAATGAGCAATTCAAAGACAACTGTGTTTTCTAACCCAGTTTTTAAAATTATGATCCTTAAAACCTAAATAACTCTTCTTGTCTTTTGTATTTTAAGTTTTGTGGATTTTTTTTATCCTTTAAACCTTTAATTTAGATATCCACTTATTCCCTTGAATAATATTCCCTTCCTCATTAACGTTTAAATAACCGTAATGTTACGTATTCTCCACCTTCTAATTTCATATCAGTTTGTTATGCAACATTCGATTGCTCATACCTATGCCTATTATGTAGGTATCATTACTATATTATTTTCCTGATAATCTATCTAGAATTATAATTTTACAAACCATGTTGACGTTCTCTACCATTTATCTAGATGTGATTAGGCGGCTTTTGAGCATAATCTCACAAAGAACAGATTTGTTATCTGAAGTAACTCATCACTTGTCCACTGGTTTTTTATTATAATTTGTCTCTTGGGTTCTTAGTGGAACATAGGGATTCAGTAACACGCCTCCATTACACTCTCTTCTCTCCAGTCTTCTCAACCTCACTCAACAACTGCCCACAACTTTTCATTTCTTCCTCACATCAACCCCTCCATGTCACCCTTGCCTCTAACGCCAAACTAGTCGTTTCCCCTTCAGACTCAACTCGACCGCCTGGCCTCGCCTGACCTGGCCTGATGCATGATGTCCCCAATCGGTCTTCTCAGTCTATGTCCAATCAAATCTATCTCCACTTTCCTCCTATGCATGTTTGTCCGGTGACACGTTCTTCCATCGCTCCTTCGTCGCCAGCCACAGTCAATTACTTCTTGCTTATTCTTATTATTCTGACCATCTCATCTCCATCTTCACTATCCAGTCAGTGTAGGCAGCAGCTGTTGATGATGTATGTCAGTGGTTGTTTCTTCGATGTGTTTTTCGTCGCCCATCAAGTCTCTCAACCATATACCAGTACTGACTTACTTCACATTCGTGTTCAAAATCCACATGTTGTTCACGCTTTGTGCTGAGTGCAGTAGATCTCCACACTGTTTATTTCAGATTAATACGCGAAGGCCTGTCTTGTTGTCTTTCAAATCCTGGCTCTCATGTCCTCATCTGTGCATGTCATGCCTGTGGTTGAAACGATGCTGTCTAGGTGTGTAGGTGTATGTGAGTGAAACAGACTACTTCCTTTAGGTTTCTCCCGTTAATGGTGATTGGTGCTTGTTGTTGATGATGCTGTTGATGTTGTTTGTTGGGTATCTTCATCACCTCCGTCTTCTCTACATTCACTTGAAGTCCTGTCTTCGCTACACTGCCTTGCCTCTTCTGTCAACTTGTTGGTTTTCGTGTGTAGATCGAGTTTTTGCGACAAGACACTAGACATAAATCATCATCGTTGGCGAAATCCAAATCTTCGAGGGTTTTTTCACAGATCAAACAGCAAATGCCAGTCTTCTCGCTCCTTACGGTTCGCTGCATGATCCAGTCCAGTCGACCACAATCAAGAAGATCATGGGTGGTGGAAGACGGCTTTTCCTTACTCCTGTGTTTACTTGGAAGGCGTTGTCCGCTGGTTTACAATGGTAAAGTTCACACGCTTCTGATGATGAATTTGTTAACGAAATAAATAACGTTGAATCCAGATAAATATGTTTGTAACAATTATAGGCGTTTTTTAATGACAGTGGAATGTAATGTGTGGTGGTTTTATGGATCTAAGTAAATATCATGAGGCCGGAGATTGAAACTTTAGTTGAGACGAAAATCAGCTTTAAACAATCTACGAAAGGATAATAGTATAGTAATTGCTAAATCTGACAAAGGTAACTCAACAGTAGTTATGGACAAATCGGATTATCTTAAAAAAATGGATGAACATATCCAAACAGGGCCATATGAAGAGATTAAGAAACCTATAGATACTGTCATGAATAAAATTAAGAAATCTACAACAGATCTGATACGCCGACTGAAGCCATCTCTAGGTAAGTCCGAATGGTTTACTTTAATGCCAAAAACTAATAATCCTAGCAGAATTTACGGTACTATTAAGGTTCATAAAGCAGGTTATCCCATTAGGCCGATAGTTGACTTCCGAAACACACCAACATATGAGATATCAAAGTATTTAGCATCAGTATTACGTCCTGTTAGAGACCGTTCCAACTCTAGACTAGTAAATTCTTACGAGTTGAAACAAAAACTTAATGACCTGCACATAGAAGAGGATGAAAAAATGGTTAGTTTTGACGTAACAAGTCTTTATACTAAAATACCAATCAATATGGCACTGGAGGCAGTCAGAAATCAACTAGATACTGACTCACAACTTACTCAAAGAACCAAGGCATCGGTTGGTGAAATCATGTTAGGAGTGCAGTTATGCTTAACCTCGACAGTCTTCAAGTTTCAGGGAAAGATATACAGACAAACAGAAGGAGTAGCAATGGGATCACCAATATCCCCTATAGTAGCAGATATATTTATGGATAGTTGGGAAGATATGGCTTTACGAACATATAATCCGACACCTAAGATATGGTGGCGATATGTAGATGACACATTTACAGTGTTGAAATCGGAACATATCGACAGTTTCTTGACACACATAAACTCAGTAGTTAACGCAATCCAATTCACCTACGAAGTAGAAAATGAACAAGGAGAATTACCTATGTTGGATTGCAGAATAAAACGAAGGATAGATGGTGGTTTAGATACTACCGTCTACAGAAAACCAACACATTCTAACAGGTATCTAGACTTCAAGTCATCTCATCCAGTGTCAGTTAAAGCGGGTTTAGTCAAATGTCTAAATAACAGAGCTGAGAAACTCACTAGTCATTGTAAGGACTTAAATAAGGAATTGAAACACATAAAAGAAGCGTTAATAACTAATAATTATCCCCATCATTTTATTAAGAAATTCACACGGACGCATAAGAAGCAAAATAATAACACTAATACAAATACAAATAATAGTGACAACATAAGTAGAAAGGAAATCAGCACCTCTATTGTGATACCATACAAGGAAGGAACATCAGAAACCATACGTAGGATTCTCAACAAGGTTGGAATTAGGGTGGCATTTAAACCAACAAACTCACTTAGAGGTAAGCTGTGTCGGCTAAAAGATCCGATAGAACCAATTAAGCAAAATAATATAATCTACCAAATTCCATGTAATGACTGTGAAGTCAAATACATAGGTCAAACTAGCCGGTCGGGGTCAGTTAGATTAACAGAACATAGGAATTTAGCTAAACATAGAACGACAGACCCCAATAAGATCAATAACCTAGAAAAACACTCAGCCATTGCATTACATTCATTAACACACAACCACACAATAGGATGGGACAAAACCACTGTACTTAAGTCTAATATAGCTAGGTGGAGAGAGAGATTAATTACTGAATCTTTGTTCATCGAATTCACACCCAACACATGTAATAGGAATGACGCAACACCTATACCAGAGATATGGAAAACTTTACTACCAATCAAAAAACAAAGAGAGATCAGGTGACAGGACTATAAAATCAGATGTCGAAAGAAGTGTGATTACATTGATATGATTATGAGCAATAATTTATGCTCGAAACGTAATCAAGTAAATAATACTGTATCACTGTGCGCTTTATATCAAATAAACAAATCTAATATGAAAATCCGTTTTATTTTAGAGAAATTGTAGAAAAACACAAAAATAGAGAAAAAAGTAGTGAGATAAGATTTTTTAATATTAAAACATACCTCGTTTAGGGGATACTGATTTAGCCCGTCTTCTTGATCCTACTGATTCATATTCTGGATCTGATTGTGCATAAGCTTCAAATCGACGTCGACCACGTGCACGTGGTTTAGGCATTTGTTCACTTCTAAATGTATATACAACATCAGGTTTTATTTCTTGTTGACCATTTAATACATGTTCAACCATCCTTTTTAACCTTCTAGTGTCTGGATCACTGAAACCATCTAATTGTTGTTCAAGTAAATCTATTCCTGAATTATTATTCTTTGGATAACCATCAAAATCCCAATGTGAATGAACATCATGTGATTTATCCAACTCATCAATTTGTTCAGTTAAACTAGAGTCAAAATTACCACTCATTTGTTGTAATTGTTGTTGTTTACTTAAACTTTGTAATTGACTAGTATATTGTGATTGACGAAAACCAATTAAACGTCTTAATATACTGTGTATTGCTGATAAACGTGCTTCAGCTTCTTGACGTGTTGTTAGTGTTTCATTCAACTCAGATTCCAATCCTTTTATACATGTTTGTGATTCAGCTAATAATGTTCGAAGTTCACTGATCACGATATTTGAATTGTCCAGCTGTAATAGTAAAGAACAACATATGTATGGATCAGGGTTTATAAACTTACTCATGCTTATGTACATTTGTAGTTAGGCTCGGTGAAATAAATTTCTTAATAATTTTGGGTATTTTATCACTTTGGTTTGTACTTGTATTTTTATTTAACTATATGAGAATATCTAAAAAAAAATACTTCGCTCTTGTTTCGTCTATGAACTAATGGGAGTTTATTAATCCTTAGAGAAAGCAATGTGAACAAGATAGTTAGGACTAAGTCAATTCTTCTTTCATGAGCCAAATATTAATTTAAATTGATATATCAATTAGTTAGGGTGACTTTAAAAGCCATCTGAACAACTGATGAGATAACCAATTGAATTTCTTTATTTTATAAATAACTGCCTTCACTGCTGAAAATCAAAACCTTATTGATTCAATTTGGAGGTTTGTAGGGATTTATTTATTGATTTCAGGTTAGTATTTTCTCATGGAATGAAACCAATTGAAGAAACACTGGAAGCACTGGACAGATGTTTCGTTCTAGTTTGGGATTCCTCGTCAGTACCCACTCATGATCTTGCTAGGGATCGAACCCAGGATATTCAGGTTCTATGACCAGCACGTTACCATTGAGCTCCTGGTTCAGGATCCCGTAGTCTATAGTTCTTGCCTTTTTCAGTTCGCCATATTGGACGACCTCCATCCAGTGCCGTCGTTGTGTACCTGTCCTCATGTTTGACTTGGTTCGCCCCACCAGTCACGACTTCAGGAATCACCTCTTGAAGCTAGTCACTAATGAGCCCTAGATAAAGGTTTGTGAGGATTTATTTATTTATTTATTTCAGGTTGGTTTCCAATGTTTCTCCGACTGATGTCAGTCCATGATGAGTACCAATCTGAAGACCTGATTGGTTAGTTCGGCAGTTGTTAGGGTGGCCATTAAAATCACTCGTCAATGAAATATTTTGAGAGCGTGTTAAATACATTGATATCAGTAAACTAATGATTCATCAAACTTTTGAAATAATGGAGAATATTTGTAGCTCAGGTGGATGATCTTGGTTGGGTTGTTTAAACAACCCAGCTCAGAGAACACAATACTGTTTAGTTTAGCATAAACCCATTTTAGCGTTGAGGATTAAGGAGTAAAATCTCATTATCTGCTGTGATACATATTTTCCTTTGGATTCTGTTGTATTTAACCAACACTAACTAGTAATGGGGTAACCAAATACTAAATACTTATCTTCATCTAAAACATTGAGTGTTTAGTATTGAGTAGAGATTTTTTGAGTTAATATTCATCATCTTGTTCTACAAGGGTTGATTGTGACACGAATAACTTAGTGGTAAAGTCTCTGACTACAGCACTGGGTAACATGGATTTGAATCTTACATATGATTCTAGTCCCCTAGATACATCTTGCTGAATAGTGCAAACGAATAGGAAATTTAGGTTAGGCAGAAGTTTCTGCCAATTACCTTCAATCAGCTAACATAATAGTATAGTTTCAGGTTTTTTTTTCACGTAAATCACCATGATCAAGTGAAAAAGAAGTATTTTTCAGTCAGGGGATAAATGATGTGGGAGACTGGTGATTTTGAATTGTATACTTTTGAAATGTATGGAAATATAGATTTTCGTGAGATTTTACCGGATAGAATGATATGCATAGTTGTTTTTCAATTCAATACGAAGAATTATTATATTTCGCATTGTTTAAAGTTACATCTACTCGTCTTCACTTAAGTAATATCATACGTTTATTTGACTTAGGTTAAAAACACCAGTTCATTAGTTGTTATTATAACAACTGATTGTAGAAAGGGAAATCTAACATTTAGTCAAGTATATGTGGGCTAATTATTGTGTTTATTTATTAAAGACAATTTAATCAGAAGTTGTTTAACCATAATATTAAGCATATCATTCTAGGAGCGTGATTAAACTTTGGACTACTGAAAATTTTCCATGGAATTTATTTCATTAAATTCATCCTTTTCAATTTGTTTTAATCGTATAAATGTGTCCTTTAAATGCGTCAAATACTCTTGCACACTTTTAAAATAGTTTCAAACTGCTTTTTTTTTTCAAGCAAACAGCAAAACATAAATGATATACCATTAAGAGATGAGCTTATAAATGTAAAGAAATATAGTACATTACTATTCCCTGGATAACTATGTTGAAGAGTTCAGTTGTGGCTGAATAAACTACCACCATCAAAATTACTGTTACCACTATTTATATTCAAATAGAATGATTATTTCGCTTGAAGGGAATGAATTTGTTGAACTATTACATGCTGAGAAGTGTTGTTTCTAACAAAGCTATTATTATTATTTTAATGAAGGTTAGTGGCTAGCAGTGGAATCCAGGATGCACATTTCGTCCTATTTGGGACTCGTCAGCTGGATGTACCTGCTTCCTAGTGAGTGGTGTTTTTCCCACCGGAATTCGGACTCGGGAGCTATATTTTCAAATGCCAGAGTGTTATCCACTACACCGCCAAGCCACGATAGCCACTTCTTGTGCAACGGGTGTAGTTTTTTGGATAATTTTTCTAATATGATACCGTCGTTGATTGGACCGAATTGATCGGTCTCTATTGGCATATGGGCTCCTGTGCAGATGCCTCGATATTGCCAGCGTTCTAATTATGTTAATGATGGTTCGTGGCTAGCAGTGGATAACGCCCTGGCGTTTGAAGCGGTCGCTCCCGAGTCCGAATTCCGGTGGGAACGACATCACTCACTGGGAAGCAGGTGCATCCAGCTGACGAGTCCCAAATAGGACGAAATGTGCATCCTAGAATCCACTGCTAGCCACGAACCATCATCAACATAACTAGAACACTGGCAATATCGAGGCATCTGCACAGAAGCCCATATGCCAATAGAGACCGATCAATTCGGTGCAATCAACGACGGTATCATATAAAAACAGTTATCCTAAAAATATTATTATTGTATCCATTTTTACCAGTGTTCTTCTAGCCGGTTGATAATATGTTTATGCCATTTCTTTGAGGAACAATAGTCAGCTTAAAGTGAACTATTTCCATCATATCTATTGTATGTTTGTAATTCATTGCATGTTGCTGACATGTTCACTCGTATATATTGCTGGTAAAAAGTAGCTTTAAAGACTGTCCTAACGACTAGAATAACTAATTAAGTTTCTCTGTCTCCCTAGAAAGTATCTTTCCAGTCGAAATAAGGAAATGCAATCAGTTGTTTAACCATTTATTCGGATGGGTTATAAAGTCACTTCCAGTAAAATAATTGAGAATATCGAGTTTTATGTTGATGACTCGTAAGCGTGGGCAAAGCATATAAGAACTTGGCTATACTAACATAATGAAAGTCATTGCATGACATTGATAAAGTTATGTATGCTTGCAGCTATCAGTTAGAGTAGGTGAAGGTAGTCTAGAGGTTCTTTTGCAGGTAAAGTGGTTAAAAGTGAACTGGAATGATAGGGCTAAAGTTGAGGATTGAATTTGATCATTTATATATTATGCGCTGAGTGTTAATCAATCTTATCGTATAAAGAAAGCCTTTCTGATACAAAGTAATTAGGAAGCTAGTATGTGGAATATAGAAGTATCTGTAATAGGTGTACACTTTCATCTTCAATGATGTACTCGAATTTTTAGTGCCTTTAATGTACATCATCTTATACATGAAAGCGAAATCTTCTAATATAATGCGCTATTGTAGCTACTAAGACGATATTACTTTCAGTATTAATCGAAACCTATTGACTAGGAAAGGTATTGCAAGCACTTTAACAGGTGACTTAATAGTTCCAAGCATATATACTATATACACAGTTATGTGTTCAAAGATGATTGCCAGAAAGCTCCTAACGCAGATTTTATGCTTGTGGGTTTTCTTCAGTAGGGGGTTCTTCGACATACCAATGCTCATTTTGAGTTCCTATGTGGTTGTTTGGCTAAACAAACTGTGGTTAACTCCTGGTAGTACTGGAATAAGTAAATGAATTAGTTGCTGAACCTAACGTAAATAATGTATATAACAGTTAAAGAATTTATACCCACGGTAAGTCTATAAACTTTATTTGGTCTTCTGTCGTTCCATAGATCTAGACAACTCATTTTCAGATCACAAAGAGATGCCGTAAGTTCCTTCTATATTGAGAAAAAACTTTGTCGAAGAGCTTAGAAGTGTATAAAATTTATGTCCAAATCTTCTTGTCAATTATCCTCAAATATAGTAATGATGGATAGTGGCTAGCAGTGGAATCCAGGATATACATTTCCATATTCATCATAACTATATAGTTAAGAATACAGGCAATATTGAGGCATCCAAACAGGAGTCCATATGTTAACAGAGACTGATCAATTCGGTCCAATCAACGAAAGTGTAATACAATCAATAACACATCCTCAAATAAGTAAGAAATGTTTTTGTTTCTACAGACAATCAAATATGCTTCACTTTTTAACATAATAATGTCACTTTTAAGCTTGATATACCTTTGATTGCAAGCTTTTTCTCGATTCAACTAAACGTTGATAATCTCTTTGCCAATCTTCTGCAGCTTGATTGGCTGTTCTTTCTCTTGAACGGAGAATTTCTTCTAATTCAGACATTTGATGATTTAAATCAGACAATTCCGATTGAAGTGTGGATTTGAAGCTTCAATTTCTAGAAGTTTTTGTTTCAATGCAACTTTTTCTCTATTATATAAATAGAATTAAGGAAGCATAAATTTTTAATGGTATAACAACTTCAAAATTTCGATAAAACAACAGAATAAAATCGAAAGATATCAGTCTAGTTACGTTACTTTTAATTCTTTGTAAAACAGGAAGTGACTACTTCAACCACATTGATAAATCTCTATTACATTTTCCGATGGATTCTATGTAAAAGAAATTTAAGACTGAAAGTTGCTGGAATTTATCACAAGATAAAAAGTTGAGTGCTAATACCTATTTTCTATGCTACATTACAGGCTACATAGAAAAATGTGATAAAGTCCCAACAAAAACAGCTACTGGCGTAACTCATAAAAAGTACTTGTACAGTTGGCAGTCTACCAGCAGATGAGTAGATAGATTTTGTTGCTCCTAGATAATGATATCTTTCAGATCACTTTTCTAATTAAGTATTTCTTATATGATGTTGTTTTTATCATCCTGTTGTTGACTGAACTGAGTTTTAATGAAAACAACATCATAACTGAGAGACAGATACGTCTAGCTAGCGAGTACCAAATAGGATAAAACGCGCTTCTTGAATTCTACTGCTAGCCACCATTCAGGACTATGTGTACCTTTTGTTTGCTAGACAACTTAAGTATAGATATACTAAGCTGAGAAGGTACCAGACGCTAGTTATTACACCTAAAACTGCATAATGAAAAGGACCACACCTCTTTTTAATATACTCAATGAATGATAAGTAAATGAATACTGTACTTATGTCACAAATCATGACAGCCAAAAAGCAGCAACTTCGTTTCATGTGTTTATAATGTTAATTTATGAATATCCAGTTTCTTACAAGTTGACTCAACTAGTTGGGGAAGTAATGTGGTATATCTGTCTATCAGTTGCATTTCTTATAGTCACATTAGGCGTGTGAACATAAGAATACCGAATAATCATTCTACAATTTGGCAAGTACCAATGCACCACAAATATTAACTGTCTTCCTTATGTATTAATGAGATTTTACACGCATCTCGAACTAACAGCATCGCCTTTTAAAAGATACAAAGTCATCTAGAAGATATATGATCAACATATCAGTAAATTTAGCGTAAACATCGGAAGAATTTACCATGGAAGATGGTTCGGTCTTATTTTTTGGCAGTTCTATTGAGTCAGGAATGCAGTATGTATGTGTTGGTTATGATAAGATTTCCGAAGTGCTAATGAGAAGTTGTGACCAGTGGGCTAAACCAAGTCAGAAGTAGACAGGTATCCGATGATTGCACTAAATCGGTAACCACCGACAGAAGTAGGGAACTGTGAACCTTTAGTTCCGGGCCTAGTGGCAACGTGCTCGCTATGGAACCTGAAAGTCTTAGGTCCAATCCCCGACGATATTTTGGATGTGCACTGCTGGGGTGTTCTGTAATAGGATAAAACAGCTGTGCAGCGCTTTCGGGTTTGCAGTGGCTGTCTAACTGATGTCAGTCCGATGTAAATATCAACTTGAAGCATTAACGCTTAGTGAGAATGAAGACGTGAAATCTTTGGCTGTATTGTGTCAATAGGATATTCAGCGGATTTTAAACTGTACACATGATATATTCAGTTTCCTACAATAAAACTAAAGAGATATTAGGTGAACTATGATAGAATTACATCAATGAAACATGCAGGAGTAATAGTCAACAAACCGTTTTAAATTTTCTTCTTGATTGATACTTTCTTTTAGTCGAACCTTCAAGTCTTCAATTTCTTCAGATAATTTTGCTTTTTCTGATTCAGTTCTTTGCAGTTTATTGCGTAATTCAATAATTTCACGTTTAGCTTCATTTGCTAAATTTGTAGCTTCTTTCAAGCCAACTTGTAGGTCTGCTACACGTCTCTCGGAACTTGTTCTATCCATTTCGGTGCCTTGAAGTTTAGATTTCAATGAATTAGTCATACGAACTAAATCAACACGTTCTAGTTCCACACTTTTCAATTGTTTTCTCAATTCTTCATTTGAATGATCCAATGCAGTTTTCTCACGTTCTAGTTCACCAAGTCTTTGACGTAGTTCACTGCATTCCCTTCTTGAAGAATCATTTGTTTCTTCCACTGGCAATTAATTAAAATAGGTTGTATATTAATGCCTAAGTGTTAACTGCTAATAAGACTGTTTTTTCCGCATGGTGTTAGTCTGTGAACATTCCGGTATAAATTAACACACGAAAGATTTGGCCAAACAGAAACCTTACGAAGTCTTGAGCTACATATTCCGTTTTGACCATACTGTCTAGTATGTTCAAAAGTAGATATCAATTACGTAGCGACAAAAGGCAGCCAATAGGGGAGTTGTTTTCAAGTCATGATCAGATCATGTTCAGGTTGTGATTTATGCATACGCTGACATGAGAACCTAATTGCAGAGGTTCGACCTCACACAAGAAGTCGGATTGGTTTATTTATGGCTTCACTTTCTGAGAGTTTTGTAAATACATATATGTCATGTATTTGCCTAATAAAAGTTGTCACTGTTCTTGCAGTCACAAGCCGTCTTTGTCTTCTGATTTTTCCGCAGCTCAGTGAAGCAGAAGGTACTGAGGGAGGTCAGTCGTAAAGGTATTCGGTTGAGGTGTCTATTGAGTCTCAGTATTCATTATGCCCACGCACGCAACCCCACCACTCGGTCACAACAGTTAGGTCTACGAGTTTGATGAAAATTGGTTACGAATACTGTTAAATGCTGATACATTTCAAAGTCCATGGGGGCTTGATAAATGGCAGTTTTGATGGTCTGTGGCCATTCATATTTGTGAGTAGTGTAATTAAAAGGCGAAGTTTACTTTATAAATGTGATAAATTTAGGCCATAAATTTCAAGAAAAACTCATCACTCACTTATCAAAGAAATTTTAAGTGAACAATGGAAGGGAAAAGAAATCAAGTGTTCAAATATATAAGTATGGCCTATTCAGGTTGAAAAGGTTAACGAAGGAAGAATGATACCATTTTGCAGCCAAACATGAAAAGATAAGATGAATATTATTCATTGTTTAGTTGAAAGAGAGTTGACACTTTCATATTGCCGAGTCCTAAGTATGGACCAAATTTTATGTATTATCTTAGGAGGTGGTTATCAGGCTAGGCATCTCAGAATGATAGGAAACTCTGATTCAAGTTAGTTGATCGGAGAATATCGACTGGAAACCCTGGACCTAGGCCTCATACTTGTTGGTAATCAGCAAGATATATATATATATATATATATATATATATATATATATATATATATATATATATATGGACACGAAACTGAGATGTAATACATTTGAAATGAAACAAGAAAATAAAATAGTTGTAACATAAGAAACATATTGTTTACACCATGACAGTCAGAACTGTTCAGCAAGTGTTCAAATCGAACGAACGGTAATATGAGGTATCCTTAATTTTCATTGATTATAGAGTTCTAGCTTCTTTTACAATATGTTTTCTTAGTAGCATTTACTTTAGACTTCTTTCCAACATTGAATATTTAACCTACAAACTGTGACTATCTAGTATTTCTAAATTTGAATTGTTTGATCAAAGACCATTGTGTGACATTCACAATCGTGTCTAGTAGCCCAATTTTCACCTAAAACGCAATGAATTTTAATTTTTTAAAACTTGTAGTTAATTATTATTTTAGAAAAGTTTCATCAACTTACGTGCACGAATACGATATGTACTGTCGACCAGTTCTGTACGATTAGTATCCCTAACTTCTTCTGCCATTCGAATTTGTAGCTGAAGTTCGCTGACTTCTTTTGTCCACTGTTCTCTTTGGCTCTCAAGACTGTGTATACGCATTCGTAGTTCTCGATTTTCTCTTTCATGCTGTGAACTAAAAAAATTAATTCAGATCTTCAATTACTCAAGTGAACTATATATATATATATATATATATATATATATATATATATATATATATATATATATATATATATATATATATATATTCTGATATTTATACTGGTTGTAACTGCTGTGCTTTTTCCGACAGGAGAAGTAATGTACAGACCTATGAGTGTTTTTACAAATATGCTTATAACTTTCGATTGCAAAATTTGTTAGAGCAAAGTAAATGTCAGTTGTTGTCATGTGAGCACTTGCTAATAATGCCTCGATATTCTCAATAATATTTTTGTATATCATTGTTAGTCACGATCTAGTTCTGTTCAAAATGCAGCAGGATAGTAATATAGAAATATCCTCAGAAAGCATTTATATGTCAGGACTGGCTAATGGGTTCGATTCAAAAAATGAGTAGAACAAAACTATGGACTAAAATGTTGAACTATGCTTATATTTATCATTCAAGTGGTTGTTATAAATTTAGAGGTCTTGTGGATAACAGCCTAACACTTGAAGTGCTGTGTGTATGAGTTAGGCTTGAGTCCTGATGCAGGTAGCAAATATGACCGAACATATTTTGAATTCCACTGAAAGTCACTATTTAGTACATTAAGTTCGGAGAGAGAGAGTAATTGAGCACTGATAATTCGCTACAAGCTAATTATGGAGTTTGTTGATACATGTACATTAATGTTAGTTGTTTTACTGGACAGAATTGATGAATCTCTAGGCAATGTTGAGGCATTTTGACAGGAACCCACATGACAACAGAGTCATATCAGTTAGGTCCAATACGGAAATAAGCGACAAAGAATAAATATGGATGAGTGCAACTGAAGACTATTGCATAAGAGGTACTTATCATGGCACATTCAACTGGCAAGTTCTAAATGGAGAAAATTGCGCTTCCTATATTCCGTCTCATGTGAAGCATTCAATATGTGCTTTACATTGTATTTTTACAGCTTCATTTTATTATTTTCTTAAAATGCAGTCATGTTTTTTTTGTGGATAGAAGTGATAGGGAATACTTAGAGAAGAATGAGTGCATTTCACGAGTCACTCAGATTATGTGCCAAAGATATGGGGGAAGTGGTATAACAATTGGTGTTCAGTGTATCAAATTAAGGTAAACGATAAGAAGGGACGAGAAGTTCACAGGATTTTTTTTATTGGAATATCATAAATTAAGAATCATTCGTTTGTATTTTCAGTCTTCAGTGTAACTTCTTCTTTCAGAATTAGGTAAAAATACTCTGTGTTCTGATTCAGATCTGATGGTGTTTTGTCTTATGAATGTGAAATAATCCGTGGTGCAACAAATTCATTTCACTCTCTTTTGAATCTTAACATTGCATACTGAATTTCGTTGGTATTTACTGGTATGAAAAGATGATGGCGTAAACTCTGTTTCAGGACAAAGAAGTATGCTGATTAATTTCTGAGTGGCAATTTGTTTTGTTGCAATCCTCAAATTCTGTGTTTGGGAAGGCTTGAACGATAGTTTATGTAGCATATAGGTTAAGGCTTCATTTAAAAACAGACCATCTAGAACACTGAAGACCAATAAGGTATTTTATAAAGACGTTTATATGAATGTAATATTTTGACTATTTTCTACTGGGCTTTTTATTATGAATTGTTTTATTGTTTAATAACAACGGTAGTCAGTAGCTGGTAATGCAGTCCAGGATAGATTCATCAGTCAAACGTAACCGCCTTTAACTAGGTGAAAGTGTTTCTGCTGAAATTTTGAAACAAGAAATCATCGCTCCAAACGCTTGAGCCTTATCTACTTGACTACTGAGTTGTGAAAGTCACTACTTCTGCGACAGGTATAGTTTGATGTCATAATTTATTGTTGTACGTTGTCGTCAGATCGGTCCATTGTGTCCCTTCATTTCGATGCAGTCAATGACAGGAAACCCACATGATCTTGTTACCGTTGCACATATTTCCTGATGATTACTTAAACTTTGTTTATGTGTATAGCAATTTCCAGTATCTGTCTTAACAAATGACCCTTAAGTTGAACATCTGACTTAATTATGTACATTCAGTGTTTTAATTTGAGTTTTTAATATGCGTTGAATTTTGACAAATTTTGCTGAGCTTCTAAAAATAGTAGAGGCCTTGGCTATCCATGAACTGATGCCGGGCCTACGTGTGAAAAAGAAGTATGTACAGTCTTTATCTCTACCTTAGGCCTTAACTTATTTTGGTCTTGGTGAACTTCGTTACATTTCCGTTGTATCAACCCTCCTTCATTTTATCAGATTAATCTTTGTACTCATATCGTTATTATCACTTTGTTTTTAATTTTTATATTTAATTGTTTCCAGCGTTATTTCATTTGATCTTCCTAATGATCACAACTTTCAGCAAACATTTTCATTATCATTTGACTGTCTGAGCCGTAGTATTTTACTGGGTGATGATTGAAGGTGAGATGAGAAAAATTGGACTGCTGCTGAATTCGAACCAGAGAGACCACCGGGTTTCCGACCTCGTAGCTCAATTGGTGGCTGGTTCGAATCCAGCCGCGGTCGAAATTTTCATTTCACCTTCAATCATCATCCAGTATAACAACATTTCCAGTTAATTTCACTTAATTTACCTTATCCATATTACCTAATTCTTTGATTGTTTATTAATCCTGCCACGTTTTCATCACTTTTTAATCTATATGCACCTTATCAATGATTCAAAAATCTTACGTAACCCTTTTTGTTATCATTCAACCCTTAAATCGTCAACCGGCAACATTATTATTGTAACCACCTTTACTATTATTTCAACCCCCCATTATTTAAGTTAAATCTTTCTCATGGATTACAGTCTTTAAATATCATATATATACGAATGTACAGCTTGAGAATAGATTCTTTGAAAAGAGTCCTCTTCGCTGATTATCTTGTTTTTGTTACAATCCACAAGGTCATTTATTATCAGATAACTAAGTGTAAAATGTATCGGGAAAGATCTGTGCTCATTATCAGTTGCGTACTTTTCTTTTCAGTTGTTGTTAGGGTGACCTTCAAAATCACTCCTTTTCAATACATTCTATGCATAATTACAGTGTGGATAAAAATTTCAATTGAACGTGTCATTCACAGTTGTCTACTTGTATAATTTAAACAAACTGATATTTTTCATTTTGAGATGATAGAGAGAGAATATTCATGATTCATTCCGGTGGTCTTGGTGGCACTCTGTTCCCTGAGGTAGATGCTCCAATCGTCAAGCCTTCGTCCTTTTTCGAAACGACATTATCAGTATTAAATTCAACTTGAAACTTTCCTGAAGTAACTAACTTTTTGTAACTTTTTCACTAGCTTAATATTAATCAGAATAAGTATAAAGTGGGTGCATTAAAAATGATTTCACCCCCCCTAAATTCTTCAAGAAAACCGCAGATAACTAATCTGGAACACATTTATCCTAATCATCACTAGGAAAGAAGTGGTGACGTAGAATAAATAATAACGATAATGACAACTTACCAAGCTTCTTGTAACTGATTCCTGAAGCTACGAACCTCTTCTGTAGCTTTTCGCAAGGCTGATCTTTCTTGATCCTCCCGAGCACTTGCATCTTTCTGTGTTCTATCCAGAGTTGTTTGTAATTCTGTGATCTATTCTCAAACACACACAAATAGATAAGAGTAGTTTGTAGTGGAGGATTAGGATAACAATAATCAATGATAATAACGTAATATCAGGGCTTGGATATCTCCGAACCATTGTTTAAAAAGCATTCGAAAATGAAAAGGTGAGATAGATGCGTTGTAACTTGTTTTAACTCCACAAAATGTAGTAAACAATTTTTAGTGGTCTATATTTGTTATTATTCATCAATAGATATTCAGTCACACTCTGTTTATGCAGGATGATTTTTTCAACCACTTGGAGAGCTAAATACTATATGGTAGATAACCTTAACCTTTTAAACATAAAAACCCAAGCTTTTGTACTGGTTAGGTGTTCACTTATGTAAATTTCATCTATATAATCTTTCATTTAGTTTAACAGGCTAAGATTAGTCAAACAAATAACCCACTCTGCCAAGATCAACTATCATGAGATATATGGACATAGATAGCTGTATCTATCGTCTGTGGCTTTCTGAGTGAAATTGTTGTACTAAAAGTTGCAGATTAAGAATCTGATGGATGCAAGTATGAGAACTATTTGGTACTAGTTTATTATTATTTGTCCCTTGGGTTCCTATTGGAACACAGAGCTACAGCAGCATATCTCCAGTACACTCCCTTCTCTGCAATCTTTTGAACCTAGCTCCATGACAGTCCAGAAGCTATCATTTCTTCCTCATACGATCTCCTCTATGTCATCCTCGCCTCAGATGCCCAACTCGTCGTTCCCCATCTGGGTTCCACCTGACGACCTGGCCTGGTGCATGATGTCCCCAAGTGGTCTCCTCAGTGCATGCATACCCAATCCATCTCCACTTTATTCCACTACATATTTGTTCAGAGATAGGTTCTTGGTTGGTTCATCCTCCGAGTGTGTTCCTTGTTGCTTATTCTTTCTGGCCATCTGAGTTTCAGTAACGAGCCGGCGTAGGCAGTTGTTGATGAATGTCTGTAGTTTTTCGGAACTGCTTTTCGTAACGCGCCAAGTCTCTGAACCAACACATAGTGGCGCTGATTTGACGTTGGTGTTGAAACTCCGGATATCGTTCACGCTGTATGCTGAGTGCGGTTTCAGATTAATGAACGCGTCTTGCTTTTCCGACCCCGGCTTTGACGTCCTCGTCTGTACCGCCTGTAGTTGAAACGATGCTGCCTAGATAGGTGAAGGAGGCTACTTCCTTTAAGTCTTTGCCGTTGATGGTGATTGGAGCTTGTGTTGGTGGTGCTGGTTGGGTATCATTATCACCTCTGTCTTCACCACGTTCACTTGATGTCCCATCTTCGCTTCCTCTTTTGTCAACTTGTTGGTTTTCGCATGTAGGTCTTCGAGTTTTTGCAACAAGACGTTAGACATACATTATCGGTATTAGATGGTACAAGTTAATCGCCAAGACTCCCTGGGCCCAGGTTTCATACTTGTTGGAGCTGGTCAGCTAGGCGTATCTGCAAACTATGAAGACCGTTTTTCTCTCGATGATTTGAACTTGTATCACTCAGTGATGAACTTACCATTTAGCTCCCTAGAATGTAACTGACCGCAATAGGATTAGCTTATTTGCACGAATTAGTCAACAGTAGGTAGCCGATGTATCCTTAGCACTAACAGAAGTCTATCGATCAAGTTTTAGAATTTGGCCACTACGCTAAGTGATTCGACACTGCGATACACTTTAGTGTTAGGTGAAACAATTTATGAAGAGATATGATTCTGTAAGTTATTATAGACTTGGCATTACTAGTTGCAATAATAATGCAGTCTTGGAAATGAGTCCTTAGAGATTTAATATTGAGTATGACAATACAATGAAAAGATTTAATCCAGTTATTGCTTCTGATAAGCTAATTAGATACAGTGAGTAAGTAGTGGAGCTAACCATTTTAGTTCTGAGGATTACTCTCATTAAACGAGTAACGTGTAAAAGAGGTTAGAAAGCTTGAACATTTGGTTAGCAGTGAATATCTAATTGATGTAATTTTTAGAGCAGTTTCCGTAAGACAGTACGAAATGTTCTTCAGAAGCGTTTTCGATAATTAAAATCCTTTACTCTCAACACTGTTAGAATATTTTCTTCTTTCATTAAGTTCAAAACGATATGTATTAATCATCGAAGACTGACATCAGTTGGAGGAACAAAGGAAACCTGGGAGCACTGGACAGCTGTTTCGTCCTAGTATGGGACTCCTCAGCAGTGCGCACCCACGACCCCACCAGCAGGGATCGAACCCGCAACCTTCAGGTTCCGCGGTCAACGCGTTACCTTTGTTCATTTGTTCCTCCAACTGATGTCAGTCTTCGATGAATAACAACTTGAAATATTTCCAAATCTCCACAACCCCCTCAAAAAAAAAATTTACTTGAACTAGTGCTCGTTGGTGACTAGTTTCGAGAAGTATTCCCGAAGTTCCAATGACAAGTCGTGACCGGTGGAGTCAAAGCCTGATGGCCGTGAGGACAAATACTCAACGATGACATTGGGTGGCGGTTTGCGTTATATCGTGAGCCAACAGAAGTTGGAAATATGGAGCATTGGATTCTGACCCAGTGGCTCAATGGTAACGCGCTGGTCGCGGGACCTGAAGGTTGCGGGTTCGATCCCTGCTGGTGGGGTGGTGGGTGCGCACTGCTGAGGAGTCCCATACTGGGACGAAACAGCTGTCCAGTGCTCCCGGGTTTCCTTTGTTCCTCCAACTGATGCAGTCTTCGATGAATAACAACTTGAAATATTTCCAAATCTCCACAACCCCCTCAAAATTTAATGTGTATTAATGGTTGTAGGCGTAATAAAAAAAAACCAGAGTCACCACAGGATTTCAACTGGTGGACTTCAAAACATCATCCGACTACCCTATTGAGTTACTAGACATAGCTGCTGACCTTTAGTAATAGAGGGTTGTGATGTGAATGTATAAAGTGTAACTTTCTTTTCACTATATTTACACTATCTCGCTGATCAGATCTCTACCTAAGTGTAATCGAAATGAATTAGAAAACTATATCATCGGAGTGATTATTGATGACATAATATCAGCTATGGTATGACAGACCGGGATTATAATAACAGATGATGAATGAAGCCAAAATGAAAAGTGATTATAACTATGATAACTCTCGTCTTGGGAAGCAGATATCTGTTATATTCTGGTGTTTTTCTGTATATTTTAACTTAAGACTAACCTGATACTATTCTTTTGAAAGTAACAGTCTGAATCATCACCGTAGTGAAATCATTTCCACATTTAAATTCTATGCACTACGAAGAGATGTATTCAGAGAATGTATCAAATATATGTGATTGATTGTATTTGTTCTGAAGTCAGAAATTATTTACAGTTCCAGGTTGGAATTTCATTTAATCAATGCATCTGTACTACTAGAAGGTTTTTTCTTCCCTCACCACACTTTATTACATTTAAGTAAGTATATGGTATGCTTAAAAAAATAGGTCACTGGTTTAGGGAGCCTCTTAGCTTGCTGTCCACATTGCGAAATGGTTGATAGAATTCGGTTAGCACTTAGGATTAAACAACATGAATTTGTTTACCATCCACTGGCCATTCACTGTACCTCGTCCAAGCGTATAGGAGGTTAACCTCCGCTTGAATATCTCAGTAGTATCTTATCTGGCGTGATTTTGGATCTCAGATCCGTCGTGGTTGCTGATAAGCCTTGCTGATGAAGGCCAACAAGCACGAAATCTAGGTCCAGGGCTTTCTGATGATTTCGTCAACCTAACTAACATATAAAGTGGTATTTTTATTAGCTCTTTGCTTAAGCAATTTGTCAAATAATTTGTGCTAACAATTAATTAAACGAATCATTCTAATGTCAATGGAAGATTACTTCATTCACTTTATAAATTAGCTTACAGTTTCTTGTAGAGCATTCACCTTTTCTTGAAGGCTTACTTTCTCTTCCGCTGTTCTAGAAAGTGCACGTTGGCGCTCTTGTTCTGCCAGTAAACGAGCCTCATCTCTCTCCCTTTTAAATGAAAAAGATTCAGGTAATTTAAATTTTAAAAACAAAAAAACTTGGGGCTATTATCTATAAAAATAATTAGCAATTATACAGCTCTTTCTCAAGTCATTGCTGCTGTACGGTTCAGAAACTTGGCGTGTCATGAAAAGCATTTCCAACAAACTACAGACATTCATCAACAACTGCCTACGCCGGCTCGTTACTGAAACTCAGATGGCCAGAATAATGGGAATAAGCAACAAGGAACACACTCGGAGGACGAACCAACCAAGAACCTATCGCTGAACAAATATGTAGTGGAATAAAGTGGAGATGGATTGGGTATGCATGCACTGAGAAGACCATTCGGGGACATCACGCACCAGGCCAGGTCGTCAGGTGGAACCCAGATGGGAGACGATGAGTTGGGCATCTGAGTCGAGGGTGATAAGGAGGAGATCGTGTGAGGAATAAATGATAGCTTCTGGACTGTCATGGAGCTAGGTTCAAAAGATTGCAGAGAAGGGAGTGTACTGGAGATATGCTGCTGTAGCTCTCTGTTCTAATAGGAACCCAAGGGAAAAATAATAATAATAATGTGCAGCTCTTGCAGAACGTGAGAGTAATACACATTTCTTCGAACCTGCACAAATTGCTTTAGAAACAACGTCTTTAGCTTTTGTTATCATTGAAGTTTTTCGCAATTATATTTTCTGATACGTTGTACATTGATGCGTTGTTTAGCCTAACTCTCTAGGTTGAAATGTTAAATTTTAATGAACCTCCTACATTGCATAATTCTTACAGATATAACATTTCATCAAATTATTCCTGCGAATTGTAGTGTTTTGTATATTAATATGTCATGTACCGAAGGAGAACTTCCGCTGATGCCTAGGAAGCGTAGACATTCATTTTACTGTCATTGATTGATGAACAGTCAAGCGAATTTTGATCTGGATATATAACTAACCTTGAAGAAGGTAACCTAATGATATCCACTGAGATTGTTAGACTGCATCCTCTGTAAGCTTATACTGGATGATAAAAGTAGGGTGACCAAGAGATCAACTGCTGAAATAATCATCTGACAAAAAACGCCCATGAAGATATATAAGAAAATGATAACGAATGGGTTAGAGAAGAAACTGTTTTCGGCGTTTTAATTTATTAAGCCTTACAATTTTCTGGTGAGAATGTACAATTTGAACAAAGGAAATTACAGAGGACGATTATTGCGAAGAAACATTTTTCTGTTCGACGAAATAATTCTACTAGCTATACATTCATGAGTATATAGTAAAAAGAATAGAACATTACTGAATAATTTCTGGTCAAAGGTAAATATAAATTGCATCATAAAGGAAAGTTACCTTATGGGGAAATAAAAAAGTGATTACAAACTAGAAATAATTACATCATATATCATTCACAAGTTAGTAATATAATATGTCAAATATACTTCGAAAGACTATCAAGATCCATAAACAAAACAAGTTCTTCCGTCAGAAACTCATTTGTCAGTATGCAAAGGATAAGGTGGAGCACTGACCCACATCCATATGTGTATATTCGTTTAGTTAATCCTATGGAGCGGAATACATCTATTATACCATGCACCAGCTTATGCGACGCGCTTGCGAATACTATCCAACTTGGTTGGCAAGGGGCGGGGGGGGGAGGGGGCGGAAAGGCATCTTCAGCTGTGTAACAGTACACTTGGTAAACTCAGAACATTTGGTTCCTTTTGATAAGTCCTTCGATATTACATTTTTTTTATCTGATCATAATACACGTTGTGTAACCCTTTGATTAATATGTCGTGACAGATGATCAACTGTTCACTAGTCATTTGCATCAGTTTCAAAATGTTCTATCCATGTATAACTATCAAACAAACATAACGGTATTATTTGATAGTTGAATTTAAAAGCTCCACTAAGTCAATCAAAAAGAATAATTTTGTGCTTAATTTCAGTAGTTATTTCTTTTTTTTCAAATGGAATGTGTTTATCCTTTTTAAAAGGTACTGGATAGGTTAATTTGACCTTTTATGATGTGAAATCATAGTTTGACTTATTTTACAAGCCTTACAATTCTTTACAGTTACCAAGTTATACGAAAGTTATGAATGTTTGTCTCTTTCTGTAGACAGATGAAACATGCATTTCAGTGATAAATGACGCTGGAAACACATCGATTAATTTTGAATTCTCCATCAATTTACTGTAAGGTGAATATGTTTTAAATCCTTTTTTTTTAGCTAAGTAAGAATCAAGGAAGGTTACTTTGAATAATTTAACTTTGTGAGAAAAAATCAAAGTATGAGTTAAGTCAGGTTCAGAAGTTCATTTTAAGAACTTATTATGAAGTTAGTATTAGACGAGAAGACTAAGATGTAATGTTCAACTTTGTGAAGTTTCCATATCTTACTTATTCACTCCGCAATCGGTTTCGAAATTAACTCGAGAAAAGATTATTCCATTAAAACTAACTTTATAAGAAACGTAGGACTAGGTGATTTGCATAACCATCTTTCAAGTAAATAAAGTTTCTTGTCAACTATCTATATGGTCTAATTAAAAATGTTTTTCACTTACCTTTGTGCAGCTAATAATTCCTTAGTAAGTCGATTCATTTCTTCAGCAGAATTGCGTAATTCTAATTCTCTATCCAATAATTGTTCTACGTCTACATGCTGCTGATGTTGCTTATCAATGACACTAACAGCTTGATCTGCTCTAGCAACTGCTTGTAAACAGGCATTTTCGGCTTCTTCAGCTCGTCTTTCAGCATGTAGTAATGCCATACGCATACCTTCTAATTCATTTGATAACTGATCGCCTACTTCTTTACCACAACGTTGAGATTTTTCTAATTCTATTTGAAAGTTACTGTGAGCTCGACAAAGTTCAGCTGAAATCAAAATAAAATTCATTAGGAATAATGATAGTAATAACAATAATAGATTATAAGTTAAAAGTTAAACTGAGTACAGTTTTTGCTAAAATATAAGCCATATACATTATGTGAAGATTTACTATACAACCTTTTTGCCTAGGGCTTTTGAACTTGTAACCCGTCACTTAAAAATCTAGTTAATAGGTTGGTGAACTACAACTCCATGGAAGTTAAAGCGACTGCATGTTAATTTCTGGAACAGAAATGTTATATTATACAAGTTTAGTTTATTAAACATTTCCTTCTACTTTAATATTTACTCTATATTTAACATAGTGTTACCCTGAAGTTGGGTCTGTCTTTTAACACTATTTATCATAAACTAACATTAAAGGATAGGGATTTGTCTATTTCCTACCAACCATAATGTTGTATTTCAGGGTGATTTTATACTTAGAATCAAATCGAAAGATGATAGTAGCCTCATTTTAAGAAGAGAATTCTGAAATTTGATGAAACTAAAGTGTGGAGTTCCACCATACTTACTTTTGGTCATAAAATCAGTCATATCAAAAAGTTTATTTCGCTGGCTATTGGTGACACGGTTAAGAGTTCAAGATTACTTTATTAAGAAAGATAAGTTTACTTATATGGTAATCAGAAGTTAATATGCATAGCAATTTAGGTAAAAATTGGAGAACAAATATCTTACACGCAAACGCATCATCTGAAGAAATGAAAAGTTAGTCTATCGGCTATACTGAAAGCATGAAATTCTGTCACCAGCAAGCTAGTGTTAAAAGTGTACAAGTTATGTATGTATTGAGTTAATACTGTTGGTGTTGATAATGTCAGAAATAGTAATCACTGACTGACTTTATATTTTCTAGCAACTCGATCTGTGTATCCAGTAAAGTAAAAACCGAATGTTGTTCAGGAGTTCCGTAAGCAACTTCAAATTGTTTACACCATGTAAGTTACAATCTGATGACTAAAAGCAGTTTTGTTGGGTACTGATCAAACTGAAATGTTGTTAGATCACTAAAGCCGATAAATAGAAATCTTATGATTCAGGTCTCATGCTTGGGAGCACATATCAAAGAGGTTTTTCTGGAAACTAAAAGAAAATCCGATGTGTTTTAAGAGACAGGAAATTGTGTTGTCGGAAGCGATATTCATAGACCATCCAAGCTAGAAATGATTTCATATGGGATCAGACTACGCATTCTAACCCATCGATAGTAAGTATTCGGTGTTACCATCTGAAGTCCTTAGGACAAAATGAATCATACCTGTCCAATTTATTTCACAAGTGACTGATGTAGACAGCCAGATGTGAAGAGGAATTAGCTGCCTGGAATAATCGGGAAAACATATCAAAAGTCTAGGTTAATGGTTTTTCTCGATGTTTTCAACCATTCAGTACCACATACAACCCATTGTGATGTCAGGTTACCCAGCTTAGTGACACATTATAAACTTGACCGTTAAAAATTGGTTCAAATAAATTACTAGGAAGAATAATGGACACTGTATGATTCAATATAGGTTAGAATATTAACGAGGAATCTGAGACAGGAATGCTTGTTAATTCAGTCACAACTAAACCTTTATAAAAGATATCTGTAAGTACATAGAGATAATTTACTGATTTTTGTCATTAACATCCAAATATATTATTGATTAATGTGAAATAAACCATTTACAGAATATAAATTTCTACCTTGTAATTCATCTCGACGACTCTTTAGTTCTGATACATCTCTCTCTAACTGAGATTGTTTATGATACAATTGTTCAATTGTCTGTTGCAAATCGAATAAATTCGATTCTAGACTTTCTTTTTCTGATTTCAGATTATTGATTATTTCTGTTAGATGACGATTATCTCTTTCTATAATTGATAACTTGAATTTGTCAAGAAAAATGAGTTTGAAAAAAAAAACACAAAAAAGTTATAAAATATTTACTTTAAAACTGATCTACTATATACAAATCTATAATGATAATAATGAAATCAATTAGGTACACCTAATCAGTGTATGCTTAACTAATAATTTCATGTTAATGGACATTTTATATCAAATAATTGTTAAATCTTCATCATCTCTGTCGCCAGCTGACTACAATGCATTATTCAGTCAAGTTGAAATTCCTATGAAAAATTTTTCTTTTTAATTTATAAATCCTACCTTCCGATTGCTATCTAGGTTTCAAGCATTTTTAATTTCTACTTATCTTTAAGTATATATTCAATTCAAAGTGTACAATGTGTTCATTGGCTGAACAATTGAACATTGAATGTTAGAAGAATATATTCAAAACAAGACTGTACTATAACATAACAAGTGTAAACTGTTAGATTACTTGTTTCTGTTCATTTATTTAATTGAATCATAGTATGAATTAATTTGTCATTTAATCAGTAGCATTACAAATCTACATATAAGGGATGTTGACTAATTACTACTGAATCTAATTTTGTTTAAGGAATTTATAAATAACTTATTCAAAACTGTTTTTGATTGCTACACATTTTAAGGTCGTGTTTATTTTGAACTAAAATAAATTAGAATATCATTGAAAACTTAAGAGTAATAGATAGCTGTTTCATCCTCGTATGTCGCTTTTTCATCAATGCACATCAACGACCCCATCAGGGATCAAACCTAGAATCGTCGGGTTTCTTGACGAGAATGCTATCATTCAGGCAATGGATTAGAATCAAATGCTCTACATTTTCCTTATTTAGCTATATAATATAATCCTATTGGCTAGCATCTGTCTATAACTTCATGGAACATCCCTTTTCAACTAAACAATCGCTTAAGAGTCAAGTTAATAATTTAGGGTATATAAAATCTGTGACAAAGGCATAAAAGGGTTAAGATAATAAGATGATATTCAGTTATGACTGATAATTCTTTGAAAGTGAATAATCACTAACATTTACTGGAGTAGAACTTGATGTTTGTTAGCAAGAATTTGATTAAAATTGTCATTGGTTTAGACAGTTATGATTTGTAGCCAAACTGCCCTAGACACATGTTTATTTCATTATACTAAAAACATTCTAGCAAGACATAGAGGGTGTATAATTTAGTCTGGATCTACAACAGCTATTGGACTGGAAGTTTTGCATATGTATGTTAATCGTAAATGTGTACAAAAACGAAAATATGTGCCATCTTACCTGAAGTAACAATTCAGCTTTATGTCGTGAAATCGCTTCTTTTTCATTAGTTATTCGCATAATTAATGCTTCTTGACGTTCAGAATCTCTACGAAATGTTGAAATATCCTCCATTAGAGTTGCTTTTTGCCTTTGAGTTTCTGATAGTGATTCTGTAAGTGTCATTCTTTCTCTGGCTAATTCACTTAATTCCGCTTCTAAACGTGTTCTAGCTGTTTCCGCTCTCATTGTAGACTCACGTGCCTGTTCTAATTCAGATTGTGTCAATAATTTTTCTGAATAAAGCTTTTCTAACTCATCTCTTTGTTCTTGTAATTCCATTCGAAGATTAGCTCTCTCTTCTGTTAGACGATTTTCATTAGCATGAGTTAATGAAATTTGATGAGATAATTGCTCTGCATCATGTTCTTGTGATTCAAGAACTGTTTCTAACCTAGCAATTTTTGATTTATATTGATTCTCTCTGTTGTACGCCTAAAATATGTAGTCAGAGAAAAATAGAAAAAGAATAATAAAACTGATTTCAATAAAAATATTTTTGAAGATATTTCTCCTAACAAATTCAGATCATTTTAAAATAAACTGTTGAAACTGAAAAGCAATAAATCTTACCTATCACTTAACAAATATGCTGAGGAAGGAAGTTGAGATGGATTGGCTATACACTGAGAAGGCCAACCGTGGACATCATGCACCAGGCCGTCGAGTGGAACCCGGATGGGAAACGACGAGCTGGGTGTCCCAGGTGAGGAAGACGTGGAGATTGTGAGAGGAAGAAATGAGAGCTTATGGGCTGTCGCGGAGCCAGGTTTAAAAGTTTGTAGAGAAGAGATCGCACTGGAGACGTGCTACTGAAGCCCTATGTTCCACTAGGAACCCAACGGACAAATAATAATAATTATTATTATTTGGTCATGAGGGAATTGCCTCCATCTTCCTGATACGAAAATTTTCAGTTTTTAGATCTTTTGTTGTGCTGATAAGTTGTGCGGGCATATCCACTCTATAAATCCTAAATAGGACGAAGCGAGCGTCCTAGATTCCACTGCTAGCGACAACCAGCATTTTTTAAAACTTTAATTACCTTTGCAACATACTCATATTTTTACAGGCAAGAACTTTTTTACTTCCAATTTGTATAAGGAATGATAAGTCTTTCTGAATTGTATTCATGATAAGCAGTGGTCTGTTGTTTTGTCGTCTTAGCAAATCCTTATAGTAACAAAGATGGATGGTAGCATTATATCCGTAGTCGGGTAAAGTTCAAAGTTTCAGTCATTGAATTTTTATTCAGCTGCTTGATTGGAGTGTTTTTTTGTTATATTAGAAGACTGTAAGATCAGTTGAGATCGTGATAGTTCTTATACTTCTGAAAGGTTTTAAACTACAGTGAAACCAGTGGTTATTAATGCTGACTGCAAAGTTTGCTGTTTACTCGACTAAGTTGGCGGTGGTTTAGCTTATTTCTAAGTCAGTGGTACTTATAGGACACCGAAGTATATTTGTCATACTGACGGATGGATTATTTTTGTTGAAAGTGAAAAATTTCTCAGTTAAAATGGTCGGGTAAAGACAGTTTTTTAGCTAGACATCTTTCATGCTACGATTTTATTAAAGTAGACTTTCATAGCCGTAGAATGTTAAATTTGACTTACGTGCTACTTATACTAGGCTATAATTGAAGGTGAAATAAAAATTTGGACCACAGGGGGAAACCCGGTGGTTGCTGGTTCGAGTCTGACTGTGCCCCAAATTTTCGTTTCACCTTCAATCATCACCCAGTATAAATACTAATCTGCCAAACTACGGTTATCTCAGATAGTTAAATGGTAATCATTATGTTCTGTTGTTTTCAAAACTCAGCTCTACAGAATAATCATAGTCTACGTTCGAAGATCGCTGTAGCTTGAGGGGAGATAGGTTGATGAAGACAAAGCAGTCACTTAGGCAAAATTTCCAATTCTTGGTAAATAAGGAGTATTTGGTAGTATCATGGAGTACTAAATCAGGTGATGTAACCCGAAAATTGTGATATCTTTATACTATACATTTTCAACAATTTTATCACACGTTTTCTTTATAAATTATTTTGTATGAAAATGGCGATGCAATGAGGTCAAACGAAAACCATTAAGACAATAAGAAACATAAAAATGAAGAATAATAAGGGATAAAGATTTGAAAAATGTTTGACGATAAAAGGGGATTGTCTTTGAAAACCTTAGAGAACTTAGGTCCACGCATGACTAGTGTCTCAGGAAATCTTTAACATGAACCTGTGACACGTCCTATGTATAATTTTGATCGATAGTACTAGTGATTGCAATTGAAATATAACCTTGAACCAGAAGTCTCTGAGTTATTTACCTAGTGCTTTACTAATTAATCAACCATAACCCAGTCAAGAAAAAATCCTTATTGAATGAAGTTGAATAAAGATACGATTAGCAACCGGTCTTGTAGCTCATTTGGTAGAGTTCCAGGTTGGTAACCTAGAGGCCGCTGGTCGCAGTCCTACCGCTACCAAAATTTACATTTCACCTTCAGTCATCACCCACTATCAATAATACAAGTCGTTCAAATTACGGCTCTCTTATTCGACTAAACAAATGTCACTAAACTGGTACTGTAAACCACTACAAACATACATTCAGTTATCGAAGAAAATGGCTGTCAGTCAGTCGGGAATTCAAGTGTCTTTGAAACCTGTCATGTTCAGTTTCAATCATGATTATTATTATTATTATTAGTCCCTTGGTTTCCTAGTGGAATATACAGCTACAGTAGCACGTCGCCATTTCACTCTGCTCACTGCAGTCTTTCCAACCTCTTTCCACAAATGCCCATAAGCTTTCACTTACTCCTCACACGATTTCCTCCATGTCACCCTCACCTCGGATACCCAACTCGTCGTTTCATATTTGGCTTACACTAGATGGCTTGTCCTAGCGCGTAATGTCTCCAGTCGGTCTTCTGAGTGTATACTGAATCCAGTCCACCTCTGCTTCCCTTCTTCTGCATGTTTATTGGGCGATGGGTTCTTGGTTGGTTTGTCGCCAGCCAGAGTTCGTTGTTGCTTATTCTTGTTATTCTGACCATCTGATCTCCATCTCTAGTATCGAGTGAGCGTAGGCGGCAGCTGTTTGTGTATGTCTGTAGTTTGTTGGAAATGCTTTTCGTGACGCGCTAAGTCTCTCAACCGTCATATAGAAAGAAGCAATGACTTATTTGACTGAAATTAGTGTTGAAAATCCGGATGTTGTTCAGACTTTATGCTGAGTGCCGCAGATCTCCACACTGATTTCAGAATAATACAGGAAGGTCTATCTTGCTATCTTTCCGATCCTGTCTTTGACATCGTCATCTGTGCCACCACTTGTAGTTGAGACTATGCTGCCTGGGTAAGTGTAGGTGAGAGAGCCTACTTCCTTTAGATTTCTCTCGTTGATTATGATTGGTTTTTTGTTGTTGTTTTTGGTTGGGTATCTTCATCATCACCGTTTTCTTTACGTTAACTTGAAGTTCCGTTTTCGCTGCCTTGCCTCTTCTGTCAACTTGTTGCTTTTCGCCTCTAGATCTTCGAGTTTTTGCGACATTAGATGCAAGTCGTCGGCGAAATCCAAATCTTCTAGGGTCGGTTCATCGGCTCAGCCAGCGTGTGTCCATCTTCTAGCTCCTCACGGTTTGCTGCATGATCCAGTCGACCGCAATCAGGAGGGTGATCAGTGATAGTAGGCGGCAGTCTTGTCTTACTCCTGTCTTCACTTCGAAGGTGTCTTTGAGCTTTCCACTATGAATTGCTGGGCATGTGGCGTCTTCAATCATGATATATACTCTGAATGTTTCTTTACTAGTAGCGAGATATGACAGAGTATTTCACACAGTTTTTGAGGTTTGTGCCGACGAAAGCGGTTTTCTGACTAAATTATGGTAGACTTAGGTATTATGTTTTACTGATGTCATAATTGTGCTTTGAACCATTTGGTTCTACTCTAAATGGTGGCATGATATAAACGCTTTTCTTTAGAACGCAGTATAGAGTACACATTGATTTCATTTAATTTCTTGAAGTATCTCTAAACTGTTTAGTTCATTCCAGTGTTTGGTGTAAACATTTGGTATTTTAACCCATTTTAATTATAGTATAGATGCTTTTGTTCTCATTAGCTACACACGTTAATAAGCTTTTCTTGCATGAAGTTGAACAAAAGCTGTGAAAAATTCTTTACTACGGTGTCAAAGTTTGAATTATACCAAACCACATTGCCGAAATTATACTCTTACTTTGATTTCTCATGAAATGCACTACTGAACAAGATGAGTAGCTAGAAACTATTCCTGCTAACCTGCCAATGCGGGGAACCACATAAGAATTATCCAACCATTGAACAGTCAGTGTACTAGATAGCAGCGTAGGTGATCATCAGTGTTCCCGGATGATTTCGTCTCTTTGCATTAAATTAGTACTAACCTAATCTATGTCACATGAATAGAATGAACCAGATTTGATAATTATTTTGCAAATTACTTGCATATTGTATGCTTCACGTTGACATTTTTCTTAGCTGACTAACTTTTTAGTTCTATGACTATGATGTTTAAATCACTCTGATCTGGTTAGAGAAACCTCCAGATAAGCATGAGTGGTTTCTGATTACTCGTTTTGTTCAGTAATATAAAACATTGGTTCATAACACTTTTGTTTCGGATATCATAACACTTTATGATATCATCTATGCAGTTTCCAGTGGAAATTCTGGTAACACTATAGTAGAGTAGATACTGTGTGCTTGTTTTAAAGTCGTGTTTTGGTTCAGATTGTTAGCTGGTGTAAATGTTGGTAGCGTTTAGAGTAAAATGCGACTACTGTTTAGGATTGAAATGAATGGGGAAATATAATATACAAGGGAGAAAATAGGTAGTTATTATCACGATTTACCTGATTAAGGTCTCCACTTAATTCTTCAATCTTTTCTTGAATTCTAGAAGCTGTCGTAATAGCATCATTTTTCTCTTGATCTAATATTTCTTTTTCTAATTCAACACGTCTTAAATGTTCACGAATTGTAGCCAATTCTTCACGTAAGTTTACTGCTCTTTGTTCAGTACTGCTAAGTGTTTTTTGAATGGCATCTAGTTCGCGAAGCTTTAAAGGAGAAGTGTTACCATAAAGAAAACATTAATGGAGAAAAATTATTATGCAGTTTACTAACAGTAAACGGTTTATAAAAATTGGTTACTGTTATAGTTTTGTAAAATTTCCAACTAATTAGTTTCGAGTTTTTCAGTAACTGGTATCTGACATATTCAAGGTTGAGGAAAACGTCCCTTACAGGTAATTAAGCTAATTGTGCGGTATCCAATTACTTAATCTTACAGATACTGGCAGAAAATACTAGTGACTCCGTTTTCTCTACTGATGATGGTGATGATACTGAGAATGAAGCTGATGCTTTCGTGTATAATAGCAGGAATGTAGAAAAGGAGGTTAATGTTTTGAAATTTATTATTATTATTTGTGCCTTGGTTTCCTAGTGGAACATATAGCTTCAGTAGCACGTCGCCATTTCACTCTGTTCGCTGCAGTCTTTCCAACCTCTCTCCACAAATGCCCATAAGCTTTCATTTGTTCCTCACACGATTTCCTCCATGTCACCCTCCCCTCGGACACCCAACTAGTCGTTTCTTCACATTTGGGTTCCACTCGAGGGCCTGGCGCGTGATGTCCGCGAATGGTCTTCTCAGTGTATACTGAACCCAATCCATCTCCACTTCCTTCTTCTGCATATTTATTGGACGATGAGCTCTTGCCTTGTTGGTCTGTTGCCAGCCAGCGTTCGTTATTGCTTATTATTATCCTGACCATCTGATCTTCAGTACTGAGTGAGCGTAGGCGGCAGCTGTTCATGTATGTCAGTGATTTGTTGGAAATGCTTTTCGTGACGCGCTAAGTCTCTCAACCATCACAAAGAAGCACTGACCTAACATTACTGTTAAAAATCCGGATGTTGTTCAGACTTTATGCTGAGTGCAGTAAATCTCTACACTGATTTCAGAATAACACAGGAAGGTTTATCTTGCTATCTTTCCGATCCTGTCTTTGACATCATCATCTGTGCCTGTACCGATGCCTGTAGGTGAGACGATGCTGCCAAGGTAGGTAGGTGAAAGAGACTACTTCCTTTAGGTTAATTCCGTTGATTGTGGTTGCTGCTTTGTTGTTGTCTTCTGTACGTCCACCTGAAGGAAGTCTCGTCTTCGCTACCCTGTCCGCCTCTTCTGCCAATTTGTTGGTTTTTGTCTGTAGATCTTCGAGTTTCTTCGACATTAGACATAAACCTTCGATGAAATCGAAATCTTTTAGAGTCTTTTCATCGGTCAAACAGCGTATGCCCATCTTTTCTTTCCTCACAGTTTGCTGTTGAAATAGTAGATAATTTAAGTTTAGTTATGTCTTCAATTTATTTCATCTGACGGATTTTTTTTCCAAGATTTTCGATTGATTTCAGTTTTCCAGAGTGAGAGGATAAAATTCACTAAAGTCTGCTATATCTCTTCTTCTCTTGACACGTTTGAAAATATGTGAATTTTGTACCCCGTTGAAGACAATATGTATCCTTGTTTGCAGAAAAGATTTTTGTTTCGACAGGTAAATGATTTGAATTTTCCTAGTGTAGTTGTAGTACCAATGAGAAACCTTTTGAATTGGTTACTTTGACTATATAAACCAACTTTAGGTGACAGATTTTTTGTTGCTCATGGAGACATCGTATGTTTATTCTTAGGGAAACTGATGTCTTCTTGGGGGTTTAAAACTGTACAATATAGTACTGAAGTTAGAGATTCTACGCTAAAGCTATCTAGACTACGAATTACCTTCCGAACGACTGGATTACATAAAGGGTTATAAGATTGGAAGGTGACTAATATAGCCGTCAGTTCCCATTACATGAGTGCTGATCGTGATAGACTTGCCAATTTTACAATGTAGGAGGAAATGTCAACAGAATTCAAACTCTGACATAAGATATCCTCAAAAATATCACCAAGATATCATTGATAAAGCAACCGGTCATAAAATAAAACATTAATCTTAGAGACAATTTTGTGATCAAAGTTTACCACAGTGCAATGCTTTGAGAACTGGATATTTTAGAACGGAGAGTTGTGACATTGTTGTGTGTAATCAGAGTTGGCTTTAAGGAATGAACACAATATGAAAACCCATTGCAGGATAGGCAGTGTGAAAATGGAGCAGCTGATATATCCTGTTGGTGGCCATCGAATTCGTTAAGAGATGCATCTCAGTAAAACCTAGTCGAGTCAAAACATTTAACTGGAACGAGTACGTGAAAGAATGCTTCGAAATCCCTAAAACCATGGTGTACTGCAGAGAGCTATGAGAATATTTTCAGGAGTTGGTAAGTTAACCAGGATGAACTGTCATGTCTATAGTCTAGCATACACAAAAGCATGTAAGATCGTGCAATATCTACCTCAGAGCTCCGTAGAGAAGTTAGCAATCTAGTAAAGTATTCAAAACTAATAGTCTTATCACTAGTTTCCAGTGAAGTTCATTCACTATTCATCTAAACGTTCAATTGAATAACTCCCCGATGTCTATGCAAGAGAATCTGTCAGCAAGCACCAGGAAAGGCACGATCACTTTTGAATATATAGATACAATTGTGTTTTGTATATGCAGTACATTTAATCAAAGACTAGAAAATAGTCAGAGGCTTTCTTCTTTTATTTGATATATATTGTTTTGGTCCCATAGTACATGTTGTATTTTTAACCAGATGACTGACTACCAGTGGTCTGTAATCTTAAATTGTCCATCAACCAACCTACGCTGTTTGCGGCTTGCAAATTCTCATACATGTTCGCTATGCACATTATTTATTCAGTATTGTGTCCCACGTAGACGTTGTGTTCTCCTTACGTTAGTTGATTCGATAAGTATACTGACAGGATTGGCTTCATGTGTGCAAACTAATAACAGTTTGTGGATAGATACAACAATGAGAGGAAGTATTTTTTTGAATGGAAGTGTTCAAGCACTTAGTTTTATGAGAATCGGGTGATGTTCATGTGAACTATGGTTATCAGGAAACTGTAATTCCTGTATGTCGAAAACAGCTTTTAGTAGCCTGTATGGAAATCCAAACTGAGTGAAGATAGAAGGGTTATGCAATGAAGAAACAGTGGGTAACTCACGATAATATATAAATTAATCCTAGAACAAAATGAAAACGATTGTTGAGTAAACGTCTTAAGTTTTTTGGCATTAGAAAATACGAAATGGTAAAATTTAGCTACATAGAGACTTAAAGATGTTCTACTTTAAAAATACAAATCACCAACTGAATTGTTCATATCTCATTCAATATTTGTTAAACAGTAGATTTACGTGTAACAAATATTGAATTCTCTCCCTGATTATTTACCTGAATCCCTTCGGTTGAATTTTCGACATAAAACATCTATGTAGAAAAAGAAGACTTAGTTCGAAGGTTTATGAAGAACGATAGATTCCAAGGTCTTATTCATCGTGGACTAACATCAGTATGGGGCTTCTTAGCAGTATGCACCCACGTCTGCACCATTTACTGAACTTAGGACCGTCAGTTCTTGTGGCGAACACGTTAACAGTCTCCCGCTGTGTGAGTCTTGGGTGGGCACTGTTAAGAGGCCCATACTAGAACGAAACATTTGTCCAATGCTCCAAAGTTTTAGGTGGTTCTTCAACTGATATCAGACAGACAGACAGACGAAATTCACGTAGAATCTCGTACACACAACTGATGTCAGTTCATGATGAGTAATATCTAGATTAGGGAAACGTCTTGTAATTGTACAGAGTAAGTGATATGCATTTCTCATTAATTTATCTTCAGCTCAATGGTAATATATTGCGATGAAACATTTCCGGGCAAATTATGGTGTCTATTTTTCCGGGGAGTGTATTATCCCCTGAAACTAAGGACAGGATGCATTGGTCGTGGTTAATGTGAATTTTCGAATAATCTACAGCTTACCTGATACTTGAAGAATTTAGTGCTACTCGAAACTTTTTCTTAAACTGTTCACATATCAAGTAATAAAGATAAGTGTAGATGGTACTAATGGGTAGTGGATTCTAGTAGAATCTGGGGCACGTGTTTCGTCCTGTTTTGGACCAGTCAACTGGATGTGACTGCGTCTTAATGACTGATATTACCACTAAGGCTCGAATCCAGGACCAGTCACCTTCGATGCCAGTGCGTTGTTCATTGGGCCACAGAATCACGTTAACCGCTTCTATGGGAATACCGCTCACTGAAGTACATTCAGCTGGCAAGTCTCAAATAGGATGAAATGCGTATCCTGGATCCTACTGGTAACCGCTAGCCATCATTACTATCAGAATGAAAGTAATGGCAGTATCGAGGCATCTGTGCAGGAGCCCGAATACCAACAGTGGTCAATCAGTTTGATACAATCGACGACGAGAAATTATAAGCAATAAAATTGTAACTGCAGGTACGTTAGTGGGTTTTATTTGCTAAAGAGGGTGCTTTCTTTTCCCGCCCTTCATCAATATTCGTAGTTCTTGAAGAATTTTTCAAATGGAGTATGACTTCAGTGACGCTTGGTTAGCGGTTTGAACCTAAATCAAGCTTCCACAAGAAAATTGTCATGAAACTGATAGGTAAGTATTAGCAGTCGTTGAAAAACTCACTTTGAAACTATAACTACAGAGGCACATAGATAATGCATAACATATATAATTTGTAAAATGTTAGGGGTCAGTCGTTTGGAAGTCGGTAACCTCGGTTTCATGCTCATTAGTACTCATCAGCAAGGCCAAAAAGCATGAAACCTAGATCAAATAAGGCTTTTTATTGATCAACTGGCACCATCTAACACCAAAATACATAGCACCGTAATGTCACATCACTTAGCTTAGTAACTTCATTGCGAAACTGGGGAAGAGACAGTTCACCTACAACGATTACGCAATTAGTGACTTATCTATTCAAGGTTCGATCTGTTCATTTAATGGCTCTTGATGATTATTCTTACTATCTATCACCTAAGTGAAAGAGCATATCAACTGTTCATATTACGCAGGCATAGCTTGGTTACCCAGAATTGCTTCATTCAACTAAGATGATTGTTTTACTGAAAGAGAAATATCACTCAGCGAAAAGATGAGAGATGTAAGCTTTGAAACTGATTCTTTATGGATGCTGTGATGTACAGAATAAGCAGTGAACTGACCTGAGGGTGATCACCTGTATGTAATCTTATTTAACTTGTTAATTATACTCAGGTAATAAAATAGAGATATAAAAAAGAGTAAAACACGAACACAACTTGAAAACTTAAATACACATTTAATGATAATCATTCTTATCCTGAGTTAATCAGTCATTTCTACTGTCGTAAATATATGTCACAAATCAGGAGAATAGACAGTCGCCAACTCCTTTGCAAGCATCATGTTCGAGAATAACCTTAAGGGTTTCCTCAGATGATAGAAACGAAATTCCAAATGACTTTTTGTCTCCTCTCGTAGTTTACTTTCCTCAACATAGTTTTTCATAAATTTTTATTTATGCTGTGGTTTTTTCAAATATTCTACTTGCTCGCTTCCATCCCATATATCCTGAATCAAAAATTCCATATAATCAGTATTGTTTACAACACAGGAATCAGTTCAGCGTTTACGACAAGTTTATCTGTGAACGACGCTTTGTCTATTCAGGATTTTGTCTAAAAATAGGTTTGAAATGTTTCTATTCTATTCATTGTGATAAGTGGTGAGGCGTAAATAATATCATCTTTTCATTCGCAGATATTGGGTGTAAGACTGTGATCTACAGAATGAATAAGATAAAGAGCTTACTTGACGGGAAGTCGCACAATAGTTGTCTTCAAACTGGCTGATTTTTCTCTCATACTTACCTTTTGGTCTTTTGCTAATTTTTCCTTTTTTCTCTCCTCACTTCTGTATAGTTTGTAACTATTATTGTTGTGTATACTAAGTTGCACACTTTTATATTGCTTCTCAATTTGATAATTTACCCTGACCATGTATTTCTATACGGGTAAGGAGCCGTCAAGGTAGGATGCATACCTAAGGAATGAATGGTCATTATTTTTACATGGGAAGATCAGTTACCATGGATTCTTTGGTCTCTGAATGTAGTGTAATGTGTATGAGATGAAACCCAATGCACGCAACAAAAGCATAACAGCCAGTTCTGTGAACAAAGTGCATACTGTTGTTTGTGTATAGAAATTCGATAACTACTCTTAAGAAACAAGTCAGTTTAAAATGAAGAAGGGAAATTTTTTTAAAAGCAGGTGAAATGTTTGCTCTGGAGACTGTGTATAATAATTTACTATATGTAATATAGCTAACCGGCTCTCTCTACTGTTTTCAGCATTAAATTAATTTGATCGCTGTAATCATTACAGTTTACATACATAGACTACCTTTGAGCTTATTTAAAATTTATGGGCTTGATTTGCGTCTTTGAATAAATTCTCCTCTGATCAAAAAAACTAAGTCAATGCAATCTGCAGTTTTTCTATGCATTTAAAATGTATTAACTAGACTATCTGAGATAACTGAGGTTTTGCAGACTTTAGTTGTAGATGTTATGTTATGATTGAAGGTGAAATGTAAATATAAATCCCGAGAGGACTCGAACTCGGAGGGTGCTGGTTTGAATTCTGCCACGGTCTAGATTTTCATCTCACTTATTAGTATCTTACATTTTGTTAAAAGAATCAAGGGTTTTGTTACAAGTTCCAGCCAAGTACACCTGACATCAATTATAGTCCTCACTAGACGATAATAATTCCTCAGTAACTAAGGTAATTGTCATGGTCGATTTTTAACCTGTCTCATCAACTTGATGATCTTATCGTATTAGTTTAAGCAGATTAAAAACTTTGAGGCACTGGAAAACTATAGGAATAATACACATCCGTTCAATTTATTGTGATTCGGCAAAAAACTGAAGTAATATTATGATTTGACTATCTAAGATAGCCGTAGTTTGGCAAATTAGTATTTGTACTGGGTGATGATTGAAGGTGAGATGAAAATCTGGACCGCGGTCTGATTCGAACCGGCAACCACCGGATTACTGTCCCGGTGCTCTACCAAGTGAGCTATGAGGTCCGACTGCTGACTAGAACTTTAGGACGAGAAGTCCTGACTAGACAGCCAGTATCAATACGATCAAGCGGTAGTAACAGGTCACGGATTCACATGGTAGTCGGCCAAAACCCTTGGTGATTAAAGTCAAATAAGTATCTGGTCAGCAGTCAGACCTCGTAGCTCACTTGGTAGAGCACCGGGCTGGAAACACAGTGGTTGCTGGTTGGAATCCTACCGCTGTCCAGATTTCCATCTCATCTTCAATCATCAGCCAGTACAAACTGAAGTAATAAACAGTGAACAGCTTTAGTGTTTTACTTCGGTGTAATGAAATATATATATGTGAAGAAAAAAGTTTATCAGTTAGATGTTAGAAAAACAATGAAACTATACTTACTGTACGTTCTTGTTCGGTTTGTAAACGATCACGTTCAGATATTGTATCATCTCGTTGCTTTCGCATATCATGCAAAGATGTTTTAAGTCGTTCTAATTCACTTTCAATTTCACGTACATGTTCATTAAGATTTTGTCTTGCTGATTCACTAATTTCGTGTTCTTCTTTAGTTAAACTGAAATAAGTAAATTCAGGTTATATTGTACTACTGAAAATCTCGATACACATTATTTATTTTATTATTTTTATTTCCCAATAAATGTAAAATAAATCAAAACTTTAACAGATCTATTAACAATAAATAGTGAAACATCAGTGAAAACAATTTTGTCTTGTTTTATGTTCATTAGTATGTGTAAATGTGAAAATAATGAATGATATTTACCCAATAGCCAAATATTTTCAAAGTATCAAATTCCAACTTGGTTTCGATATATAGAAATTGATTAAAACTCGTGATATATAATCAACACAGAATGATATTCAACTAATGTTAAGTTTTGTTGAAGTTTTTTTGGCTTTTTCAGCCTGGGAGTTTCTCTATTTCAAAAAAATTTATGCATATTGTCGCATGAACTTGAAGATCAACAGGCGAAAACTAACAAGTTGACAGAAGAGGCAGTAAAGACGGGACTTCCTTCACGTGAACGTAGAGAAGACAGAGGTGATGAAGATACCTAACCAACAATATCTAAAACAAGCACCAATCACGATTAACGCGAAAAATCTAAAGGTAGTAGTCTCTTTCACCTGCCCACCCACCTAGGCAGCATCGTTTCAAATACAAGCGGTGTCACAGGCACAGATGAAGATGTCAAAATCAGGATCGGAAAAGCAAGACAGGCTTTCATTAACCTGAAATCAGTGTGAATATCTACTACACTCAGCACAAAGAAGAAGATCCGGATTTTCAACACCAGTTTAAAGAAATATACTTATCACATTGTTGTATGCTAAAGATTATAAAAATGTTTAGATATCTATATATTTAATGTGTCCTATCAAAAGTAAATTGAACTTGAATAGACTATATCCTTGACGGCTAGTGTTTCCACTGTCAGCTTAAGCCTTATGAATATAAGAAAGGGATGATTGACCTAAGAAGTGTGAGATCAAGCGGAATACATTGACATAATTAAAGAAAATACTGTTGACTACCATGTTTATTGGGCTGAACTTATAACCTATGCCAGGAAAAATTACGTCATTATGACTACAAGAAAAACAATATTTTGTGGAGCTATGTTTACCGTCTTAACTTCAGGCATATAGATACGATTTTTTGAAGAGGCGAAAAGGCTTGAATCAAAAAAGGTTTATTTACGCTTTACAGCTGTGGTGTTTTCCTCTTAAAATCTGAATTTTGATTGTTTATTAAAATAAATTTCAACTGAAAGTGGTTTTTTTTACCAGTTTGACTTTTCTCAAACTAGTGGAAACAGACTTATGAGTTGGTATAAGCAGAGTAACTTCTTATGTTTCACTAAGTTGGGAGCAGTTAGGCTTAGTTTACTAGATTAAAGAGTACCACTGTAGTTTTTAACTGTGATGTGTTTTCTCTGAAGTGGCTAAGACCAATGGGACATTCAACTGACAAGAATACAGTATACACTGTTGACTACCATCACTGAAAATGTACATTACCGTGAATATTATTTTATCACAGACTACAAGCGGAATCACTGATAAATCTTAGTAGCAAAACAGTTTGAAACAACCCTAATTTAGTGTTATTGCTTGTATTATAACGTCGTTGATTGGACCGAGTTGGTCTGTTTCTATTGGCATAGGGACTCCTGTGCGGATCCCTCCATGTTACTTTTGTTTTTAATTATATAGTAATGATGGATAGTGGCTAGCAATGGAATCTAGGATGCACACTTCGTCCTGTTTTGGGACTCGTCAGCGGGATGTACCTGCACCCCTGTGAGTGATGTTGTTCCCAACGGGGATCGATCGCTTCAAACGCCAGAGCGTTATCCACTAGACCACCGAGTCACTATAGCCACTTCCCGTTCGACGGGTATAGTTTTTGTGTTATTGCTTGTCAGGTACATCCAGTTGACGAGTCCCGAATAGGACGAAATGTGCATCTCGGATTCCATTGCCAACCACTATCCACCATTACTATATAAGACTAATTTAAGTACACAAAAGTTAAATAGATGGTTCTGACTTTAAAGATTATGGATTACCTCAATGTTTGTTTGATCTTATCTCTTTCTCTTGATAATTTATCCATTTCCAAACTTTGTGTTTCTAATTCCTCTCTCAATCGTGCAAGTTGCTCAGACAGACGTTTTCGTTCAATATCAGCTTCTTCTCCACGACGTAAAAGGTTATTAACTTGTTCCTTCATTCCAGAACTTCGAAGTCTCAGACGATGAACCTGTAAAATGTATTCAATGAAAAAAAAGAGAATTTAGTGTAAAAGCGAATGGTACAGTTGGTGTTGAAGTATTTTTTAAACTTTGTAACGGTGCGGTTGTTTGTTATTGCTTGTGTAATGGGTTTCTAAAAGGAGATTTTTAAAGTCATAAAATACACTTCTTTTCGACCAAGATATTTATTTCAAAACATTGTTATCAAACCATTTAGTAGTAAGTGTTCTCAATTTTCAAGAAGTCAAAAATATTTTTGGATTACAAACAAGCTTCCAAAACTGCCTACTATCACCAATGATCTTCCTGATTGTGGTCGACTCGACTGGATCATGCAGCAAACAGTGAGGAGCGAGAAGGCCATACGCTGACAGGACCAATGAAAAGACCCCAGAAGAAGATTTGGATTTCGCCGATGATTTACGTTTAATCTCGCACAAACTCAAAGATCTACAGGCGAAAACTAACAAGTTGACAAAAGAAACAGCAAAGACAGAGCTTCAAGTAAATATCGAGAAGATGGAGGTGATGAAGATACCCAACGAACAACAGCATCAACAACAAGAGGCGCCAATCACCATCAACGGGAGAAATCTAAAGGAAGTAGTCTCTTTCACCTACACCTACATAGACAGCATCGTTTCAACTACAGGCGGTACAAACGAGGATATCAAAGCCATGATCGAAAGACAGCAAGACAGGCTTTCACTAATCTGGAATCAGTGTGGAAATTTACTGCACTCATTACAAGGAACAAGATCCGGATTTTCAACACCAATGTCAAGTACGTGGGTGCTGATTTATGGTTCAGAAACTTGGCGTGTCACCGAAAGAATTTCCAACAAACTACAGATATTCATCAACGGCTACTGCCTACACTCGATACTGAAGATCAGATGGCCAGAATAATAAGAATAAGCAACAAGGAACTCTGGGGACGAACCAACAAGACAAGAACCTATCACTCAACAAATATGCAAAGGAAGAAAGTGGAGATGGATTGGGCATACACTGAGAAGGCCGACTGGGGACATCACGTCTCAGGTCAGGCCAGGCCGCTGAGTGAAATCCAAAGGGGGAACGACGAGTTGTGCGTCTGAGGAGAGGGTGACATGGAGGAGATGGTGTGAAGAAGAAACGAAAGGTTGTGGGCAGTGGTGGAGTGAGGTTGACAAGACTGCAGAGAAGATAGTAGAATGGAGGCGTGCTAGTGAAGCTCTATGTTCCACAAGGAACCTAAAGGAAAAATAATAATAAATAAAATACAAACAAGCTTCATGTATTAATACCCCCAGATATAACATGAAAAGACACCTGGTTTTTACTCACAGCTCTTGTTACCGATTTCTATTGAAAGTAGAGGACTGGAAAGTATCGGTAAAAACTTCATCAAAAAGACCTTCGCATATACATTTAATTTAGAGTCAGTCTTTACTGTCAATAATGAAGATGAGAAAGTGAACATTAATAGCATTTTACTGTTATTAATGTAACATATTATTGGCTTTACAAACCAACCAAAGCTAGTTCTTTTGTATTGCTAAGTATTCGCAGTATCTGTCTGAACTGAAAGCAGATATGCATATTCAGCTTCAATAAAAAGCTGAAACTGACAGTGAAATGGTTAGATTACTCTATGTATACCTGAAAATGAAACTAGTGTACAGTTTCAGTATTCTGTTACCTGAGTAGATTAATTTTCACCCACTCCTTTGCTAAATGATTTGCATTCCCTGATACAGCCTTTTCATCCTTGGATTCTTTTAATAATTTTCCCTTTACCATTGAACTTCCGTTGATTTCACAACCTTACAATAGAACGAAGACATTTTGGCCCAAAGGATTCGAGGATGTAAGTCTTAGGATGTTCCTGAATGACTTCGTGGGAGTTACTCAGCTGATGAAGGTTAAGAAGACAGCGTAGAAACGGATGGTGATAAAAACCTTTTTGAAAGGCTGTGCGAAAATGACCTGTAAAGCAGTGTGTGACTATTTGGAGAATGTTAAATGAAGGAACGTATGGATACTTCTACGGAAGCGGCTGGTAGCGAAGTTCAACAGCTCTGAGAATATAATTGAACCCATGCAGAGGTTCAAAAGTATAAATCCGTGGCAGGATGGAGATCTACTGATAATAGCGGTGAAACCTAAATTTTTTTTACATCGTGCATTCCCATGGACGCATTACGAGTTATGAGCACAACTAATTACATCGCAGCTTATTGGCAACCTGTTAGTTGTTACCGCTTAACAGTTGAGGCTTATAAGCACATTCTTGGGAGTTAATATTAGGTTCAAAAACGGCTTCCCTGCAACTAGTAGGTACAAAATCTGCAGTAGTAGATGTTTAAGCAGTAAGTCTTTCGGATAACGGAATAGGAGACTAACAACAGTAGGTAGTAGCACTGAGCATGAATTTAAACAAGTATGACGCATATTTCATCCATGAAATCACCAAAAACTGATGTAGAAATTGCCTTAACTTGCGCAACAATAGAAATTATGAGAATTATAGTGTACCTTCTTGCCTAATGCTAATATTAGATATGAATAGATTATTATATAGAGGGTCGGAAAATAGTTTGTTCAATGGATACGAGCATCGCAGCCTCGCTGACAAGACAAGAGCAATGTCAGAGTATAAGGCCGTGTGCGATGTCAATTAAGACTTTAGGTTTTCACAAGTTAGAGGTGAAGGGTGATATGCAGTTGTATCCCTGAAATAAGAGGTTATTCAATTCATCAGATGTTTGTCGATAAAACTCTCACACTATGTTGGGTGCCAATTTCTTGAAGGAGGGAATTTTCGCAACGGATCGATATTGACCGCATACCACTGATATTTTCAATAATTCTGTTGATATCTATCCATGATGAGAACTCTTATAGTATCGACACCTGCCCCTTCAAACCTGTGAACTGAATACTATTTTTAATAACATAATGGTATGTTAGCATTTTAATTAAAAATTTTGTGTAGTTATCACAATGGTTTCAAGCCTAGAAAAACGTTTGCCGGTTTTAACTATTTATGAGTAATGACTATTTGGACGTATTAGTTAAACGTCAAGCAAGGTTAAAAAAGTTCAAGAGAATATTAGAGTAGAAATTGAGCAGTGTGTCAGGATGTAATTCGATATTAGAATATTTTGCCTTCTATAGAACTCTGTGATATGATTATGAGCAATAATTAATTATAGGAATTTTATCCATTCAATAACACTAGATTGAATAAACGTGATTAACATGTAAGCTTGTCTGCAGAATTTCCTTTTCTACCTCACCCAGTAAATTTATTGGTGTTTGTCATGTCCACTACACATACGATATTATCAGGATAGCAAATCTTTCAGTTCAGTTGATCAAACGGTCTTGGTAGTAATTTCTGATTCTACAAGATAATAGTTTTTAACTTTTGATTGTTTCTGGCAACTGTGATACGTTATACCATTGTAATCTCCCGCATTACTTATATTTTTTGTACGAAGAAGTAAATTGAAAATGTAACTACTTGATGAAAGTTAAACATTGGTATCAGATATCTAAGTTCTTCAATCGCGAAACATATCTTTGAGGCAGATCATAAGGTTGATATAGCTACTTGCTTTAGAACTATTTACAAACCGATCCTTATATTTGTTGAGGCCATATTTATTCAAAAGTTTCAACCACTTTTATGTATTGAAAAACAATTTGTCATCATATTAAATCTCCCTTGGTGAATTCAACTCTGAAAACAATTTCAATATACTATTACCTTCTCTCTCTTAATTTCCATCGTTAGTTGGCTTTTAGTTCAACCTTCCTGCTTAACCTTTTTTCATATTCTCACTCCTTATCTTTATGGATTTTCATATAAAATACGTAAGATAAGCAAATGTGTGATCAGATTGTTCGAAATCTGTTGGGTAAATACATTACGCAGTTCAGACAATTTACGACTTCCTATTGTTTTCTCGGAGAGATGCTTCCTTAAGTATAGCTGAGGTTAAGTACTTGATGAACGATAAGTCATAAGTTTGGCAAAAAGTTTATTATCACCATGGCAGATAGTGATGGTCAGAAACTTATCAAGATGTTTCAAAAGTTGAAAGAGAATGTTAATGGATGTGTATGACTGAATCTGCTAGACTTATGGTTGACAGACATTATTTCAACAGTATTTTGCAGAACAGAGTTGATATTTTATTAAGCATAGGAATGTGCTCACTTGTTAATGCACTTAAACTTCGTACCCATCTACGGGACTAGCAGTGGAATCCAGGACGGGCATTTCATCCTATCCGGGACTCGTTGGTTGGATGCACCTCCACCCTAGTAAGTGATGCTATTGAGCAGTTTAACCCCGTGTAGCAGCGCAGAATTACAAGTATCAAAAAGTATTTAGACTATTTTTCAGATTTTAGATAAGGTAGTGGAAGTAAGGATATAAAATCAAATATATGGATGTTTCGATGATTATACTGCTTTACATCCCTTTTCCCTGCATAAATAGAATTTCGTAACATTTCAGGTGTCATTATTAATAGATCTATGCAAGTAAGCGAGTTGGATGTGCTGCTGATATTTGCCGGCAGGCTATTCGAAAAATAGCCTAGTTTACTTGATGTATACCTTACATAATTCATAGACAGATGACAGTCTAGTGTAACTAAATGTTGACCTGTACTCCGGAAGTTAAGTTTTCTACTTTTATCCTCATAGGAAATAAACTAATACAGGGATTAGTAATTAAATCTTACTATAGTGTAAAGATTTCTAGGTTATCTGTAAAAAACTGGATCAGGGCACTATATTACTGATGAATATCAGAAGTTGGAAATCATTCAACGCTGATCTTGAGACTTAGTTAATTCACCAGTCCATGACATTTATATGTCGGATGTAAACACACTTTATGAACTTACCTTTTTCGTTTTCAACAATAATCCCGTTGATATTATAGTTGGGCAGTTGAAAAACAGCTCAGATGTGAGGGTGGTGAAATTGAGTAGTAAATGACTTAAGA